AAGTAGAATGTTTTTTTGCAAGTAGTCGTCAAGTTAGAAGTAAAAGAGCTAAACGAGACAAACGTAGTTATTTTGGTATAAAAAGATGCAGTAAAGCGTTGATCCTTACGTTAAGAGGAAACTTTGATGATCTTCTTCTAAAAATTACAATTTATCCTAAAAGTTATCGGTATACTGACCGTGACACCTTCAAAGGTGACATTGCTGAGAGCATCCAGGAAGAGTTGCTCCCATTCCTTGTCCCTATACTTGAAATCCTGGACCGTCTTCTCTTTGTACTTGGACCTGACTCGCTGAGCCACCGTCTGGATCGCCAGCGCCATCGCCCAGATACCTTGAGATATTTAATTGTGGATTGTAATATGATGGTTTACGAATAAAGTCCAGTGAGGTAAGGTTTATGTATGTAGGTACATGGGACCAGTCCCATCCTGGAGTCTTAATCCCAGGATAAAGACTTCAGTTACAACAGGATTTAGGACGCTAGACTAAATACAAGAATACACATTACCATCATAAGTGTAGCCATGGAATCTGGAGTACTCTAAGCCTCTTCTACGATCGTATTCCACTTGGTAGTCTTTGGCTGTCTGTAAAGCATCGCAATCATTTAGTCAGACATAAAAGTTCATCATGTTTAAAACAGAATTGTGAGTATGGTCCTTACAATTCCAGAAACGGTCATCTCTCCTGTGGTGGAAAGTGGAAGTAAATCAGTTAGGATGGTTGTATCCAGTGCTGCCGTCAGGTTCTTCTTTGAGCAGGGCGCGTGCCTCATCCACCACTTGTTGCTGTAGGTGCCCAGGAGAAGCCAGGTGTACGCTCGCCCGTACATTTCAAGGCTGACAAAGAAAAGACGAATAATGTTAACGTCTACATCAAAATTACTTTAATTTTTATCAAATGATAATCTAACCGTGCATGATTAGTGTGAGGTCTGGGGTAATTTTTTTCTGACACAGATTAATTTTTTTTTTCTAATCACCCTTTATTTTTTTCTAATTATTCGAAGCCAAGTTCAGAATTGAGTTTCTATGTTGTAGGTCCTCTTAATAACTTAGTAAAAAATCAGTGTGCTATTGTTATAACAATATTAGATACTAACTTATACGCCTCACAGAATATGTGGAGAGCCCAAGTCTCGTTGAAGTTTCCTAAGATGATCCTAACGTCTTTCTCCTTGAGCTTAGCCAACGCAGTCTTCACCTCCGTCGCAAAACTCTGGGTTTCTTCTATGAGGAATCCGTTACTGTCTAGGTCAGCAAGCAGACGGTTATGGGCCTGGAGAATAAACAATGTTGCTCAAAATCTCTTTTTACTTTATAGAACGAGAAGTAAATGAAAATAACATTGCACTACATTACTTTGAGATTAAATTACTCACCAAAGCATATCTGGGCTCATTTTGATAGATAGTCCCAACTCTAGTCCAGTTGAAGTGTTGCAGCAGTCTGATCCTGGGCAAGTTGAAGGCGTTCTCCGAAGGCACAATGCGGAAGAAGTTTGGGAAGGCTTCCTTCGTGAACATCGGGTGGGTGTCCGCGTACGAAAGCTGGAAAAACCAGACAAGGAGGCCAACCGAACGACAGGCCACACGTGGGCACCACCACTGTATGGTTGTCCCACAATACATGCAATGTATGACCTCAGTGCCTGAAGTAGTTCCAGGCACCTATAAAACTTATGCAACAATCCTATTAGCAGCTAGAATTTTTGCACATTTTTTGTTTTTGGTGTGTTTTGTCTAGGTACACCAGTTACCTGAGCAGCCATTGCAGGCATTTTTCGTACCACCTTGTTATTATCAATCAGCACAGCGTTTATAGCCAGCCTACCTGAGTAAGATGCCAGTGCTTGGATGCTTTGGCAATGGGGTCAGTGACGTGGGTGCACGCAGCCCCGAATAGCATTAGCTTATGGGGACCACTGTGCATCATATCGAAGAATGACTTCACGCCGACTGCAGCATTGCACTGTGGATATTAAGCGTTTGTTAGTTGTATAAAATTCAAAGTAAAATAATTTAATTGATCAGTCCACCAATAGTGTCTTTAGGGCTCGTACATAAAATTGCAGACGACGACCGTCGACCGTACTAAACGTATTTTAAATTGTAAACTAGGTAGTGACATGGATCGTAAAAAGTAGTGTTCACTTCTATTATTGCTTAGGAGATACAGAAAATAGAATCAAAGAAGATTGTGGGAAGATAAGAATTTGATGCGCGATGCGAATCAATTCGCAAGTTCTTGCGATGCGTAGAGAGAGCTAGCACATTTTTGCGATGCGACGTCTCATTGCAGTTTTGTTTAAGAGCCCTTATGTCTGCATAAGATCACAGGATCTGGTTAAGTGATTAATTTCCCCGAAACTAAGACGAAAATTTACCAATAAGGCAATGATAATTAGGTACTATAACTTGTTTTCTTGTATGGGGGTACTTCACCTCTGTATCGTTCCACCACATGTGAAGCCGGTAGTTGCGCAGTACGGAGTCGTGTTCATTGACGTGATCCAAAGCTAACTTCACGCTCGGCATCACCCCACGACCTATAACAACGTAGGTATTTATGTAACACCTGTTTAAAAACTCACTTTTTATTAGTATTTCACTAAATAACTGTAAAAAGAAAAATAAAGAGGTTGTCAATTTGGCCTGTATGTATTTGTGCAAGTATCTCGCGATTGGCTGAACTGATTTTCATGCAGTTTTCAGAAAAGTGTTTATTACATTTGAGAGAAGGTTTTAGTATATTAATTAACCGACTTGAAAAAGAAAGAGGGATTGAAGTCTGTTTTTGTAAATGTAGTTTATAAAACACTGCTGCTCGTGACCGAGTGGTCGCAAGTGCAACTGCCGGGCAAGGGGTCTCAGGTTCTATTCCTGCCCGAGTTGGGTAAAGTATTACTGTTTTTTTTTTAATTCTCTGTAATAGCACGGAGTCCGGAACTGTGCCCGGTATATGGCAATAGGCTCACCCCTATTACATTGGGCTCATAACATAAATAGTGTAGTGAAAAGTGGGTGATATATTGTACAGTGGCATTAAGTGCCGTAATGTGCACCTCTGTTTACCCCTTCGAGGATAAAAAGCGTGATGTTATGTAGTTAATAAAACAATTGTTATAAAAACTTTATCTATCCAGTCAAAAATGCATTTTCGTACTGATCCATGACCCATACCTACATAGATAACTTGCCATCAGGCGGACTGTCTACTCTTTTGTCGTTTGATGCCTTCTGGTTTTAAAAACGTCTCATCTTGACAACCTACTTCTATTCAAAGTTTCTAGTAGTAGTCAGATGGATAGATAGATAGACATTTTGTAGAAATTACAAAATTGAACTCTAGTTTATCGACTTATAGTATTATAATGTGTACAACCCTAGTTCATAGATACAATTACATTTTTTTTTTTTTCTATCGCGATGGAAATCCTCATGGACTTCCCGCGCCGTGGGGACGACGAGGGGGCGTGCCGGACTCATACCGGCTAAAACCACCGCGGTGTTCCTTCACTGCCTGTGACCGTGACCCGGGTTGCCCTTACGGAATCACCACACCCGGCAGGCCTCGACCTACCGCTATGTTTGCGGCAGGTCCCGCCACCTTAGCGGCCCTAGGAGGCTGCTTTCCTTCTTCGAGTAGCGCGCGTGGAACACTACGCTAACGCCTACTCCCGCCTATATAGCGGACGTCTGACTCCCCCGGTCAGTTGCCCGCAGACCTATCCTCTCATGGAGGTCGAAGATCGGCTGCTGCTTCACGGCGCTGACGACCGGCGCGTCTACGGCGAGAGGGGAGAGGACTTGACGCCTCTCTCTCCCTTTCAGCCGCTTCCTTTTCCAACATGACTTGTTCACAAAAGGAAGCGACTCCGTCCCATACGCTCTCGCTGTCGACCATAGCTCGTACAACAGTCGACAGTGACAGGTTACTCCCGCCGAGTACTGCAAAGAGTTCACGACGCGGCTCTGCCCATGCAGTACACTCTTCGAGCGTATGCCGCGCCGTATCCTCCAAACCACCATCACAGTGATGACACGCCGATGTTTGCTCCCGGCATAGATACAATTACCTACCTTAACATTACTCTGTCTATGATTCCGGTTCCATGTCTTGTCTATGTATTGGTCAGAATGAAACTATCTCATATTAAAAATTAACTAATATCTATATCATCAGAAGTAGAGAAACTTTGTTTAGGAAACTTTCACAGTTCTAATAAATAACTTAGTATTTGGAGACTACAAGCACTCTATTAGTTATAAGTTACCTAGGAAACTTGGCCCAAACTTAGCCATTACTTATCCGTAACTTCTTTAGAAGTGTTCCCATTAAACTTCACGAACTCCTGACTCCACTTGAAAGGCAATTCAATTAGCAACAGTTTTCTTAATTGTTTCGGAAATGGACTCGTGAGATGATTATCGTCTAACCTCAGTCTATTCTAAGCTATGTGGAAAGACTGGCTAAGATTTAATTCGGTAGGTAATGGATTGTTTAGATTTCCTCTTGTCTAGGTACATTTTTATTAGGAATATTTATTTATTTATTTATTGAATTAGGGTCTCCAACAAGGAATACACTTAGCACACACGAGTAGCATTACAAAAATTTATATCTATGTGCTTCCTCAATTATAGGAGGCCACAACATGCAAAAAAATCATAAAAAATATACATAAAACTGGCAATATAAATTAAAAGTTAAAATTAAATTAAATTAAAAGCTGAGAACAAAACAACTGTCACTAAAAACAATACAAAATGTCAAAAATATGGCACACGTCAAATAATACACAGTCAGACAAAACAATCAAATGTCGGAAATAATCAATTGAACATGGTCAAGTTTAAAATAATAATACTAAATAATCAAAACAATAATAATAAAAATCAATTAATATACATAGAGATCTATGTACCTACATGTACTATACATAATTCGACTGCACGGTTGGTACGGTGGTTGGGCAACTGGCTGCCGCGCAACGTATTGCGGGTTCGATTCCCGTACGAAACATCTCTTTGTGTGATTGTAGGTCTGGGTGTGAACTTGTATATTTATAAACGCACCGAAGACACAGGAGAAAATCCTAGTGTGAGGCAATATTTAAAAACAATCTATGTAGGTATGTAGGTACCACACATACATAGAAGAGTAGCAATTGCTGTGAGCCGAGTGGATAAGGATGGGGGAGTTACATTAGACCGGGTGGGGCTGTGTTAAAGAGGCGGGCGGAGGGAGGGTGCAATCAAATACTTATATAGTTTTTTTTATGAATTAAATGTTTTACAAAGATACACTGGACGGATACCGCTATAGACCACCATAGCGGTAGATGTAACTATTATTACCCTTTATTTTTTTTAAGGGGGGAAAATCATCGAATGACTGCTCCCGCCTGGGTGAGGCGGAAGGGAGTGTCAGACTCTTACTGACTAAAAACCACCCCGTTCCTTCTCCTGCACGTCGAGCCGGAGCCCCGGTTACCCGTTAGGTTCTCCGCAACTCCGAATCGGCATCGGCCCTATTGGGCCCCATCTGTGGTGGTCTGATGGCTCTTTGAAGCGCGCGCGGAACGCGACGCGCCGTACGCTCGGGTCTGTTTCTGGTCGGACGGGGAGCCACCCATGCTCGCCGTCCGCAGGCCCGCGCTTACGGTGGCCGGAGATCGTCCCGCGATCCCCGACGCCCGGTGTGTTCTTCGCGAGGAGGCAGCGCTTCGCTGCCTCACGCGTCCCGCCTCCTCCTTAGCTAGCATGACTGCTTCGCAAAAGGAGGAGACGGCATCCCAGTCCCCCTCGCTCCGCATCATGGCCTGCACTAGGCCCGGACGCGAGAGATCGCCATCGCCGATCACTTCCCTGAGGACACGGCGGTGCTCAGCCCACGCAGGGCATTCCGCGATAGTGTGTTCCACCGTGTCCTCAGGGCGGTCCTCGCAGTGATGACACCCGGACGTTTCGTCCCGCCCCATCAGACACAGGTACCTCCCGAAACTCCCATGTCCGGTGAGGACCTGCGTCAGGCGGTAGGTGAGGACGCCGTAGCGTCTCTCAAGCCACTCCTCAAAGAGGGGACTTATCGCTGCGATGGCAGCGAGCCCAGCCCTCGGTTGCGACAGTCGTTGCTGCCATTCCGCCATGAGATCGCGCCGGAGCTCATCCCGCCACGCACTTATCTGGCGCGGCAGCGGAGTTTCGCCCCGGCGACGTGCCTCCGCGCAACTATTATTACCCTATCGTCGCAACTACTCAAAATTTAGTTTTGACGGATCACCTAATAATAAGCAATCGGTGTCACCCATGGATACCCAGAACACCAGAGGTATTACTAGTGAGTTACCGGCCTTTTGGAAAGTACCTGACTTTTAGTAGTTACTAAGTGCTCCTCCCGACGTAACTCAACAAATGAAGTGCAGTATATTATATTCGTATGCGACTGTATGGTTCGTGCAGTGTCTGGCAAGGAGCTGTTGCGTAACGTCATGCTATTCCGATTCGCTTCCCACACGGAACATCTCTTTGTCCTGGGCTTAAGAGTAGAGCTTAAGAGTATGATGTGTATGTAAATTTGTATGTGTGAATACTTTTCTTTAATGGAATAGGAGGCAAACGAGCCGACGGATCACCTGATGGTGGTAAGCGATCAGCGCCGCCCATGGACACCTGCAACACCAGAGAAGTCACAGGTGCGTTGCCGGCCTTTTAAAAAGGAATACGCTCTTTTCTTGAAGGTTTAAAGGTCGTACTTCCTCGATACATAAAGAAATCCTAGAGTGGGCGGGGCAAAATATTGTATAAAATATTTTTTTTATAACCTACTTTTAAGAAAACTGACTTCAACCCCCTATTTTTCATTTCGGTTAATTAATATACTAAGCCTTCTACTATGTGTAACAAACACTTTTTTGAAAACCGCATTAAAATAGGTTCAATCAGCCCCGAGACAATCGTGCATAAGCAAACATATAAATAATACATACAACTTCATACAAGTCAAATTGAGAATCTTCATTTTTTACTCTGACGTCATTTAAAAAGAAAAAAAAGTTACATTGAGGACTTACCGGTGTTAGAATTCTCCACGCCCTTCCCAAATGGGAAGAAGCCCGCGATATAGACATCGGTCCTTCTGTTCAGGATCGCGTCCAGGTTCGGCTTCTGCGGGAACCCCTGGCTGAGGGTCACCAGCACCAGGATCAGCAGCGGAGACATGACTGGAAAGAACAGCTTCATTGAATATTTTGCTATTGGTTTTTGAAGAGTTTTCAGTCCTTGAAGTGTTAGACCAGAAGGAGGACCAGTAAAGGACACTATATTTTTTCATCTTACTAATTATGTGTACACTTCTTTATCATTCCCTCATAACATAATACAAAGAAGAACATACTACCTACCTCCTACTGTATATTAATAAAATTAGTTTCAAATCTTACCTAAGACTTAGAGTCAGCATGGTGGAGACGCGCCAGGACCTCGCCCGTGAAATGCAAGCACTAGAACTGTACTGCAGTCGATACGGAATTTCCGCACCGCGCAGTGGCTTGCATACAAAGGGGGTACGAGGGAGGGGTATGGGGTTGGCTATAAATCAATACGAACTGTCTGGCAGCCCCCCTGACACTCCCCTCTGGCTTGACTGCATGAGGGCTTTCAACCCTAACTATGGCGACTATCATACCTATAGGTAGTCGAGTCTAATTATATTTTTGAGCTGGCTAAATTATTTTTAGGAATGTATTGCTAAGTTTTTCTGTCAATAATAAGACTTAGGAGATGATCACTATTATAGTCGAGTGTGAAAATACTCTGTAGTATAATTAGCCTAACATTGTTTAAGTGTGCACTTTAATGTGTATTATGCATGAATGGACATCGTAAACGTGCCATATCATTGCTTAGTTATGATCAGAGATTGCTAGATATAAGTATGGGAGAGGCATGATTCGGCATGAATGGGACGGCTCGACCGGAATGATACCACGGCCTCACAGAAGTCCGACGTGAAACAACGTTGTGTTGTTTCGTCGTGTGAGTGCGGTTACCGGATGCCCAATTCCCCCCCCCTCCCTTTCCCCTATCCTTGAATCCCCAACAATCTTCCAATTCCCAAAAGGCCGGTAACGTACTTGTAACGCCTCTAATATTTCAGGTGTCCATGGGCGACGCCGATTGCTTACCATCAGGTGATCCATCTACTCGTTTAACGGCTTATCTCATAAAAAAAAAGATATACATATAGTAGACTTAATCAAGTTCCCTTGTTAGGATGTAAATTGTTCTCTTTTGAGCCATTAACGCTTTAATAGCCACTTAAGTGCCTAATTACCTACTATCGTGTTACACACAAACATAACATTAATTAAGAGTTGTGTGTTTTACTATACATCTTAAATATGATACCCGAAAGAGTCTACAAAACAATATTACATAGAAGACTCTATTGTTTACTTGGAAGTGATAGTGAAACGGAGAACATTATGCATGTGTGTCGAGGCTTCATAATACTTGGTTTTTCTTTCTATCTTCTTCTATTTCAACTGATTTGACTATCGCATGGTCGCAAAATTACAAAGTAGGTAAGTATTCCTATGGGGTCTAATAAAACTTAATGAATTCAATAGTTGTTATTATTATATTATAGTACAAAACAAAGTCGCTTTCCGCCGTCTGTCTGTCCCTATGTATGCTTAGATTTTTAAAACTACACAAAAGATTTTAGTCCGGTTTTTTTTAATTACATTGAGTGATTCTTAAACTGTCAAATACCAAGCGGTCACCGGTGACCGCAACCTATTGTTCTATAATTGTGTCTGCAAAACCGGTACTCGACGAGTTAAGGAAGATTTATATTTATAATACATGCATATTGCACCCGTGCAAAGTCTGGGCGGGTCGCTAGTTTGCTACAATTTAACTCTTGTCTCCAGACCTATCCCATTATTTGCACGCCTCACCTCGCCGTCCGTCGGATCCACCCCATCGAATCATGTAGAACAGGTTAAGACAGAGACTGCACTTTAACTGTACGTGCGCCTGTGCGGATACATACGTATCCCACCGCCCGCAGCGCAGGACACGTTTACGTTTGTGATTAGTTAATTTTTGCAACAGCTATGATTGATTCGAACACGAGGGCACATTTAATTAATCAGATCGTAATGCGTAGCTCGTGCCTCGTAGCTCGTAGTGCGTAGCTTATAGTGCGTAACTTGTAGTGCGTAGCTCGGAGCGCGTAGCTCGGAGTGCGTAGTTCGTAACGTGTTGCTTGCAATGCGTAGCTCGTAGTTTTCGTAGCTTGCAGCTCGTAGTTTGTATCGCGTAGCAGCATCTTGCCGCTGTTTTTATCAATGTCGTAGGCGCGGCGTATAAACCAACTGACCAGTCGGCCGGTCGGAAATTGTTTACAAATTCTACCACCGTACCTAGTTTAATATAGCTTGGCCTTTTGTTCGAGGCATCACAAGTCATATTCGAATTTTAAAAAAATCTCAAAAGCAACATCGAGTCAAGAATCAAAGAGAACTAACAAGATACCTAATTGGTGAAAAATGGTATAATAGGTTATTTTATTTTGTATACCTCTGTCAAAACCTGTTTTTATGAAGTGAGGCGAGAGGGAGTGTCAGACTCTTACTGACGTACGCTCGGGTCTGGTTTTGGTCGGGTGGCGAGTTACCCGTGCTCTCCGTTTGCAGGCCCGGAGGCGATCCCCAACGCCCGGAGTGTCTCTCGCGACGGCTAGGGCGTGAGGAGTTTAGTTCCCTCACGCGCCCCGGCTCCTCCTTAGCTGGCATGACTGCTTCGCAGAAGGAGGAGACGGCATCCCAGTCCCCCTCAATCCGTAGGTACCATGGTCTGAACCAAAGCCGGACGCGGCGGTGCTCAGCACCGCCATCGTATGCTCCACCGTGTCATCCGGGCGGTCCTCGCAGTGATGACACGCGGGCGTTTCCTCTTGCCCAATCCGAAACAGAAACCTACCGAAACTCTCTGTTTAACCCTTACGAGAAGATCACATGTGATCACACGACATTATGTCATCTACTATACTAACTAAACAACAAACTACAATAACAATATTTAACTATAACCAAAGAAAAGAAAAATCGATTTGGCTAAAAATTTGCGTCTTAATATACTTTTTATTCAAAGATTTCCCCAAAATCCTACGGGGAACGGGAAAAGGGAAAAACAGGATTGCAGGTACGAAGTCGTAGGCAGAAGCGGTATACTTAATAAAATCACTAAAACTCACACAGTAAAAAAATTACGTATCGACGTTTACAGTGCCATTATCTACATATTTTTGAAAACATGAAAACCGGCTTAAAATCAAACTCTGATAGTTTTTGAGTTTGCCACCTTCATAAAAACAGACAGTTGTACCAGGGGACTTATTTTTTACATGGATCGTAATAATAATTTATTATGTCAGTATGTAAAGATAACCTATTAGGTAGTCTGTTCTTCACCATTTTGAGTCTCAATTCTCTTAAACATTATTTTATATCAAAATGGATGACGTCACAAGCGCAAAAAATATAGAAAAACAATCAAGCTGAGGTAAGTAGTACACAGTAACTTATTTTCACATGTTGCGACTATGAAGTCATTAGATCGATACCTGAGTGCATACAATTCCGCCATTATACCTAGGTCTAAGGTATTCAAGTAAAAAGTATTCCACCCCTTTTCTCGCAAATACGCATCGATCCTTTTACATTAATATCATGTTTCATAAAATGTTATTTTGTAAATTGATTGATTCATAATGTTTTCAATTACTGAAGTCATCACATTGTTAATGATAGATATATCTATGTAGGTAGGTACTAAATAGGTACGGACATATATACCTGACATAGTAAAGTCTCATTAAACCACGAATACGCATGACAATTTAGAAAATTTTGCAGAAACATGAAAATTACTAACCTTTAAAGTCCTTTTCTTCCTTTTTGACTGGAATTTTATATTTTAGATACTCCCACGTCGTCTGCTAAGGGTACGCCATGAGGTCACAGCCATAACCCACTTTTACAACATTTTCCAATCAATCCGACCTACATTGCCACTTCTAACAGTTCCACACACCATTATTTTACAAATTTTGATAACGAAACACTGAAAATTACTGAAACGCAACTGAAATCTACATTTTTCACCTGGAGCTGTGCGGCTCGGTGACGGCTAAAACTAGAAGTGCCGTCCACCGTCACTGTACCACTCGTGGTATAGGAAACCAGACTTTATTACCCTAGCCATAAGACTGAACTCATAACCGCTCATTTCACTTCGTTCAATTTTCCTTTCAGTTACAGTAAGGTTTAAAACACGCTTCCGTGTTAATAGAAAGTGGTCTTTGAATTTGGGACGCAAGGTATAGTTTCAGTTATTCGAAAATGGTTATAAGGGTGTTTCAGTAAGGGTAGCTCTGTCCAAACAGATAAAATTAGGCTTCGGCGGTGGAAATCGATAGAGGGGTGGTTTCAGACGTAGTGATGGCCAGTGTATTTTAAATTTCGATAAACATTTTATGAATCCCAATACATACATTTTTATGCATTTTGTGATTGTATTTGATATAATGATTGTGGTTGATATAATGACAATGAACAGAAACAGGGAGCTGCGCGACGTCGCCGCGACCGCGCACGCTGCTCATGAGGAAGAACTCCTCTGTGGTTCGAAACTAGTAGAGTTTTTCTCTGTATATTCACGTGAGTAACCCGCGATTTTAATTAATGAACCAAAACCACAAGGGTACTCAACGCTTGCCTACATTAAAATCTTAGTTACACACAAACTAGCAAACGGCTACTTATATTCCAATATTCATTCACAAGACAATTGCAATAAACTAGGTACAGCAACTACAATGAAGCTGTTACTATTCCATTGACGTATGAACTTCTATTAGACACAAATCTCTTCACATTCTTTCAATAAATTAATGGAGCACTGATTGAGTACACATCGCCAGTATTTAGGTTGAGTGGGTACTTACAATACAATACAGTTTAATTTAACCATGTGACGAGCTAAGTAGAATACTCTCTTTCCGCGGGTGTCGCAAGTATAGTATCTACATATAACGCTAAAAGACATTTTACGGCTGCCGGACGACATCTGGGGCTGCGGACGATCTAGCGGGTCGCTTTAGTCAATAAGTCGAGTCTTATACTCCCTTTCATCTCACACAGGGCGGTAGAGGCCATTTGATGATTTTTCACTCTAAAAAAAACTCCAGAAAACAAAACACATTTCTATCGACATCAGACAGTTGTAACCAACATCACTACGACGCAGTGTGTCGCGCATGCGTCCTGCCACACGTAGGGGTGTGTCGTAGCTACGCTGTGGTCCAGCCAGCCACCTCGCACCTCACCTCGCCGGGATGCGATGCGAACCCCATTTAATATAAATATGAGTATCTAGTACATAGACCTCTATATCAAAACATTTTATTGATATTACTGTTCTTTTATCCGCACAATTTACTTACCAAATTTTTTTTTTTCGTTTTTGTGAGTATTTAGAAATACCTTATTAAACAGTAATTACTTTTTTATATATTTGATGGACTGACGTTTGACCACTATCTCGCCTGGTGCTCAAACCGTCTCCGTGTTCGAGACGGTTTGAGCATTAATCACCACGCTTGCTCATTGCGGGTTGGCGCATGGCGATTTCAAACTTATATTTCAAATTATAAATCCAGATTTCCTCACGATGTTTTCCTTCGTTTGTAAGTGGTATCTAAATTGTTAGAAAGTATCTATATAACTCGGAATAGGTCACATTGGTATGTCTGCCGGTGGTAGGTGTAGAACTCGCACCCTCAAATATGAGAAACGGGCGTCTTAACCTCCGGGCCACCACGACATTTCACGACATTGACTTGGCATTTATAGCTATAAAAAGTGGGTATTATGTTTCAGTAGGTACCTATTAAAATGAAAATAACTATATGAGTCTTATTTTCCTTTGCAAGATGACGAAATCGACCTTATGGTTAGGTATGTGTCGCGGGTTACCGTGGCTCCGGTTCAAATTGCAGGAGAAGGAACCGGGTGGTTTTGGTCAGTAAAAGTCTCCCTCCACTCATTCCCTCCCCCCTCACCCAGGCGGGAGAAGTCATTCGATGATTTTCTCCCCTTAAAAAGAAAAAAAAGTGGGTAGGTATGTAGGTAGGTACCTAGGTACTTACTTTTTTTTTTTTTTTTTTTTTTAGGGGGGAAAATCATCGAATGACTGCCCCCGCCTGGGTGAGGCGGGAGGGAGTGTCAGACTCTTACTGACTAAAAACCACCCCGTTCCTTCTCCTGCACGTCGAGCCGGAGCCCCGGTTACCCGTTAGGTTCTCCGCGACACCTAGGTACTTACTAAGTGGTTGTCGTAGACCCAACTACCCTACCTAGGGTTCTCGAGTTCGATTCTCAAGTGTGAATGAAGTACTTATATGAAATCGGAGTTAAAAGATGTAGTATGAATATTAATTATCTAGATTAACTACCTAGGAACCTGGTGTTATGGATTCCTATACACCAAAGTAAGGATTACCTAGATAGAGTTTAAGAATAACCTTGGGTTAAATCAATTATGCAGGATGCAGGGTAAGCATTAGTTATCAGGTAGGTATGCACTTACCTACGTGTACCTATGCTATTGGTCTCATTGCGTATTGTATATGTAGAAAATTGGTAATCCATTGCTACGACCTTTGAGTCTATCTAAAACTAAGCACTGGACATAATCTCAGATTCCATCTTATTCTTGTAACGATATAATAAATAATTTTCTAATAAAATACTTATGAGTAATGTAGGTAACAGATATTTTTTTATTAAATTCCTCAAAGATAGCATAATGTTTTGTTTTGGTAAACGATTATCAAATTACGGATCACTTTCATAGGGTTTATTTTTAAATCTGAGAATCATAATTTGACATTTGAAGACCATGATTGCCATAATGACGTTAAACGTTCTGTTTCCTTCATACGCCAGGAACGTAATACAATTGTTTTTTAATAATTTATTGATCAATCACTTTAAGAAAATGAATTTACTTATTTTTGTACATAATTCAAAAATAATAAGTACTATAAAATATGCACAAAACATTAGTTTTTGATTTAATGGTTTACGATTAAACTCAGAATTACGTTCCGGTCTACGCAAGAGAAACAAAAATCAAAAAGTTCCACATAAGCGGTATCCGACTGACAACACTGCCGAATACGTGGCCCCGAAGTTCTGTGATTAGTGGGACTTGTTTATATTTTTTATTGTGTAAATTCTATATAAATCTCCTCGGAAGCCGTAAGTAATTGAAAACACATTAATTACCTTTATCCCTGTTAATTTTCACTATCCCCATTATTGTGGGTCTTTGCGTAAATTATTGAAAAAGTTGAGGTTGCAGCTGTCAAAATTATCCTAACAAGATTTCGTTTGATTCTTTCTAATTAACTTAATATTAAGACGTTATATAATAGAAATGTTGGGTTGAATTTCGTAACTGATTGCTGGGTAACCTTTTTATTAACAGAAGGTTGTTTTTTTGTCTAATTATAGTGTTATTTTAGCTACCTGACAGACGTGTACTTTTTCTGTTAATGTTATGTTTCATCGTCTTTAATTGCACATTCCCACGTATTCTGCCTATAAGACGTTGTATTTGTGACAAAAAATATGATGCAGTCTTCAATTAAGACGTGAACTTAGATCATTTACAATGTATGTCACAAAAATCTGTTATGACATTCTTATCAGATTTCGTATGATAAATTTATTTAGCATCGTTCTGAATTACTATCTAGACTAAAGCTTCTGTGTAAATCTTCATTAGTATGATATAAATAGCTATAAATCATTTTAAAGTTACCAAAGAGTAGTTGAATTTTTTAATGATGTGTCATCGTTGTTGTCTGAAGAATTTATGAGTGAAAGTGATGATCATGCTGTTTGGACAGTAAATCTTAACATTCTAATAATAACACATAATTTCTTAATACTGTGTTAAATTAATATAAGGCTAAGACAAGTCATGCAATGGGCACAACTGCAATGTTCAATCACTATTTCTAATTAGATTTTATTCATCCTTTTTTCTCGTTGACATAGTTTCTTATTGGCTATTTATGTTTCATATGTCTTCCCCTAAAACATTGTAAAAAATGTTCAACAAGAACTCCACATTAGTTATCTAATAAGAGATAACTCCTATTTATAATTAAATAACCAAACAGTATTATAAATAATTATTTTAACAAAAACAATTGTTATCAATGAAAATATAATAAAGAATATTTATGAATGCACGGAGACATGATTGATAGTGTGTGTGACCCAATTTTGGTAATTACTGAATATGATGGTGAAACATTTATGTATGTGTGCTGTCTCATCGTGTCAATGGTCACTTCTGTTTGGTTGTTATACTACTTGAACCAATAAACTTCATTCTTCTATGTAAAATGTAAATTTTGTTTAAATTGTTCTAAAACTAATATGTTTTTGTCTCCACACAGGATATTCGGCACTCAAGTACAATGATGAATCCGCAATATCCACCTCCAGGACAGAACAACAACGCACCCAACAACCCCATGTTTCCACCTACTTCTCAAGACTACAATGGAGTCCAGAATGCAAACATCTATAGCCAGATGCCACCTAATGGACCCCAGATGCAACAGAAGCCATTTGACCCAATGGACATGTCGCAAAAGATGCATAACATGAACTTAAATGGACCTCAAGGGTTCCAGTCCATCCCACCTACCCAGTTACCCCCTGGTCAGGCTCCACCTGGCCAGTTCCCCCCTGGAGGATTCCCACCATCATCTAACTATGGTCCAGGACAGCTTCCACCTAGCCAAGCACCCCCTGGAATGCCTGGTAGACCTCCAGTGAGTGGTGCCCCACAGTTTCCTCCGATGGGCCAGAAACCACAGATGCCACCTTCCCCAGCTCCTGGTCAGGTGCCAACATCCCTTCCTTCTGGTTATGGCATGCCACCGCAAAGTCAAACACCTGATCAGAACAGGCAGTTCCAACCTCCTACTTCTATGCAGCAGAGGCCACCAAGTGCACAACCTAGTCAACCACCTATGGGACAGCAACCTGGGATGCAAGGACCTGGTCACATGCCACCTCACTCTCAGCCTGGTCTCCCTCCCCATTCCCAACCTGGTATCCCTCCTCACTCCCAACCTGGTCTCCCGCCTCAGCCTGGTATGGGTAGACCAGGAATGCCCCCGCAAGGAGGAATGCCGCCACAAGGAGGAATGCCGCCACAAGGAGGAATGCCGCCACAAGGAGGAATGCCGCCACAAGGAGGAATGCCGCCACAAGGAGGAATGCCCCCACAAGGTGGAATGCCCCCACAAGGAGGAATGCCACCGCAAGGAGGACAGCCACCTAAACCGGGAATGCCTCCGCAGCCTCAGATGGGCGGTCCTCCTGGTATGCAGTCAGGTCCACCAGGAATGCCTCCTCAGATGAATATGGGTCAACAACAGCCTGGTATGCCACCACAACCGAAACCACCTGGAGTACCTGGACAGCCTGGTCAGCCTGGACAGATGCAAAGACAGCCTGGCATGCCTCCTCAGCCAGGTATGATGTCGGCGCAAATGCCGCAGCCTGGCCAACAACAGCAACTAGGTCTTAATCAACAACAGCCGGGCAAGATGCCTGGACCTTCACAACCGGGGCTACCACCAGGACAACAGATGCCCCCACAACCCGGACAGATACAAGGGCAACAACCCGGGATGCCTCCTCAACCTGGACAAATGGGACAACCTGGAATGCCACCTCAGCCTGGCCCAATGAGCCAACCTGGAATGCCCCCGCAGCCTGGACAGTTGAGTCAGCCGAGAATGCCACCACAGCCTGGCATGCCGCCCCAACCAGGTCAAATGTCACAGCAACCGGGTATGCCACAGCAACCAGGTATGCCTCCACAACCCGGTCAAATGCCACCAATGCCTGGACAGCCTGGTATGCCACCGCAACCTGGTCAGATGCCTGGCCAGCAAGGGCTGCCTCAACAGCCTGGTTTTCAGAGTCAGTTCCAAGGACAAGCTCAGCCAATTAGTGGTATGCCCCATATGCCCCCGCCACTATCCCAGCAGCGTCAGTACCCTGCACAACCTGGGTTTGGACAGCCGGGACAGCAACCTGGTGCTCAGTATCCAAGTGAGTTAAAAAGAAAATTATTGAGGAAATTGTAAGAATTTGTGCATTAGGTACTTTAAATATATGGTCTCTTTACACCTAAGCAAACATTGCATGCCACAACACCTAATATAATAAAATGAAATATGAGTGTGAGTTTATAAATAATTCATAAGTGCATCCTTCCATTTTAACAATTTAATAATGTTAATAAATACTAGATTAGTTATGTCCCGTGTGGTTTAAGGCAAAACTTCATGTTTTTGCCGCCTATCAGAATTTGCGGAAAACGTCAGATAATACTTACTCTATCCAACTTGGATTATAATTTAATACACACAGCTTCCATGTTTATCTCATAGGGTAGACAGAATTGCAGTTTCTTCATTCGCAATGTCTTTGAAATTAAACCAACACATGGCTAATTTTCTTTCCAGGCATGCCACCGATACCAAATCAGTTGCCGCCCCAGCCACCAATGCCAGGTCAACAACAGCGTGGTTTCCAACAACCATCGTCTGGCTATCCACCTCAGTACCCTGGCCAGCAGCCCTACCCTGGACAGCAACCTTACCCTGGCCAACAGTACCAGCAACAGCCTGAGCAGAAGAGATTGGATCCTGACCAGATGCCAAGCCCTGTAAGTTGATTAAAGTTCTGTTATTATTGATCTAAGGAAGTCTTGGTCATGGACATGGTAACCCAGAGGTTTAAGACACCCGCTTCTCATACGCAGGGCGCAGGTTCGAAACCTATCAACGTCAAAGTACTAATTTCACTTTTTCAGAGTTATATGTACTTTCTAAGATTAATTAGACGCCACTCACAAACGGTGCAGTGAAAGAAAAAATTGTGAGAAAACCTGGGCTTATAATTTTTAATTATAAGTTTGAAATCGCCAAACCGCATTGAGCAACCGTGCGAGAAGAGGCCTTTGGTCAGCAGTGGCCACATATGTGATGAATGAAGTCTTTTAAGTATTTGCTAGTATGACTAGTATACTTTGCTAGTATAGGGTTATGTTATGGGTCCTATTCTTGAAGGAAAATAACGTCGTCAAATCGTCACACCTATCTCTCATTAGGGAAGGCTTCTGCCGTTTATTTGTCTCTACACGTTTCATTGTTTGATAGTTCGAAAAAAAAGTATCGAATTTGATTAGTTGTAAGTACCCAATTTAATGCAAATATAAATCATCAATGATGAGTATGGATGCGTTTTAGGTTTAAGACATTAATGGTAGTTTATAATATTTTCTCCATTCTAAGATTAGAGTACTATAATAAAAACGTATAATTAACTTTTCACCTTCTCCCTTCAGATCCAAGTGATGGCAGACGATCAGCAGAACCGCGGCGGTATCTTCGTCACCAACGAGAAGGGGCTGGTCCCTCCCCTGGCCACCACCGACTTCGTTGTAGACGATAAAGGAAATGCCAGTGAGTTTACTACATTAAGTACTAGTTTACAAAAGTAATACTTAGCTATTTACAATCACTAATGAGCTATGTACCATCCATTCCAGGTCCTCGTTACATCAGGAGTTCAATGTACACGGTGCCAGTGACTGCGGACCTGCTGAAACAGACATCTATGCCATTCTGCTTAGTTGTGAGTTATTCATCATTTTGGTATTCATAAAGTCGAGAATATTAAAACAAATATAATTTTATGACTGCACGCTTGCAACGCGCAACTTATTGTGGGTTCGATTTTCGCATAGAGCCAGTCTTTGTAATACATGATTTGTTGTTCCGAGTCCGAGTGTGACATGTGCGAGAAATTGTATGTTTGTAAATGCATCATTGACAGGAAAATTTATTAAGGGACGAAGTTTAATAAAATTAGAACATTTAATTAGAAATAGAAATAAAATCTTTTGATTTTGTCCAATACAATTAATAACCGTTTCTTCTTCTATAGCTGTCCCCGATGGCAGAGACTGTAGGGTCTGAGCAGGAGCCCCCTCTGCTAGACTTTGCAGCCCTGACAGGGTCCCCTACGATGGGCCCGGTGCGGTGCAGTCGGTGCAAGGCCTACATGTGTCCGAATATGAAGTTTGTGGATGCTGGGAGACATTTCAAGTGTGCCTTCTGTAAGGCTACTACTGAAGGTACGTGGAATATAATTACTATGTATTTCATAGTATAAAATAAAGTCGCTATCCGCCGTCTGTCTGTCCCTATGTATGCTTAGATCTTTAAAACCACGCAACGGATTTTGATGCGGTTTTTTTTATTAGATAGAGTGATTCTTAAGGAAGGTTTATACGTATAATACATGCATATTGCACCCGTGCGAAGCCGCGGCGGGTCGCTAGTTTTTATATAAATTACTGTAGCAACAAAGTTTACTGTCGGAGTCGGTAAATAGTTTCTCGGCTATGTACGGCTGCAATACCAGACGCTTCATGAGAGGGTTGTTAACTATGTATGACTTTGGACCTCTTTTTATATCTTGTTACATTAGGCCTTACCATATTTTTGCTCACTAGATTGCGCTAGTGTGAACCTCTCGTTCTTCGTCCAATAGGAAATTAGCTAGTGAAATAGCATTTGACGTTCAATATTTGACAGCTGCTGTGATTGGACAATAAATTCCTTCCTACATTTACGCCTAATCGCGAGGAAAAAACGTTAGCTATTGGTTGATATCTTCCGAGTCCCTTCACTTGTGACATGGCTTTTAATCGACCTCGAAACAAGTCTAAGCGTAAAATAATGATGAGGCCTTAGTACGAATTTGTTTTACATTTAACTCGTCGAGTACCGGTTTTGTAGACACAATTATAGAACAATAGGTTGCGGTCACCGGTGACCGCTTGGTGTTTGACAGTTTAAAGTGATCGGAACGAGACCGCGTTCGGTGCTGTGATTGGTTGATTCAGTTGGAGCCGGCCAACCAGAACGCCTAACGCGGTCTCGTTTCGATTACTTTAAACATGTTGTTGTAACTCTGTTGGCCTAACCTGAAGTCCAATGATGGTGACAAAAACTTTCTTCTCTTAGTCTTTTTACTCAATATTTGCTTGTCTTTGTAAATATATAACTTGGCGTCTATGTATTCCCAGTCCCGATGGAGTACACCCAGTACATAAACAGTATGCAGCAGTACGGCCGGGTGCCGGCAGAGATGGCGCTCGGCGCGTACGAGATAGTCGCCACCAAGGAGTACTGCAGGGTGAGTGTTATAACTTGTGTTAATATTATTATTAATTAATAATAATTATTATTATTATGTAAAGTCTATAGATCATCTTAACCGGTCTAGTAGATCCTACGGTTAGAGCTGTGGTTAATAAGCAACTAAAACTACGACCAACTTAATATATTATACCGCATCAGACAACTACATTTAGAATATTTGTAACATATTTTTAATGTTACGTTTTTTTGATGATTGCCTCATTGGCTGACAGGTCGCAAGTGCGACTACCAGGCAAGGGGTCTCGGTTTCGATTCCCGGGTCGGGCAAAGTATAACTGGGTTTTAAAAAAAATCTCTAGCACGGAGTCTGGAATTGTGTCCGGTATATGGCAATAGGTTCACCCCCTATTACATGGGACTCATAACATAAATAGTGAAATGTGGGTGTTACATTGTACAGTGGCATTAAGTGCCGTAATGTGCACCTCTGCTTACCCCTTCGGGGATAAAAGGCATGATGTTATGTTATGTTATTAATTAATGAGTGAATGTCTTTCCCCAGAACAACACGCTCCCGAACCCGCCGGCCGTGGTGTTCGTCATCGACGTGTCGTACAACGCCATCAAGAACGGACTCGTACACACCATCTGCGACAACATCATGGACATCATCGATGTGAGTACTGGGCCCATACTTCTCTATAGGATATACTTCAAAATTATTACTGCAAAATATTTAAGGCCAGTATATGCCTGCCTGCCTGCGACTTCGTCCGCGAGGAATAGTAACTTTGGTTAGTTATTCACAGCTCCTCTCCCCAAGGTGATAGCGTGCTAATATGTAGCCTATATTTTGACCTGGCCTGTTTGTAATATTCATGCAAAGTTTGAAGTAAATCATACAGACAAAATATCTAAAAACTATATTTTTGGTTTCGCTATCGATTGTAGATTATGCCCCATGGACTCTTTTAAAAAATATTGAATGTACAGTTTTGACCATTCTACGATAATATTATACCTCTATGTATAGATTCAGAAACCATTTGAGAAGGTTTCACCTTTTCTTAGTACTGGAACAGTTGCTGGCTGATAAGGATGAATACACTAACTTTTCTAGACATAAAAAGATGCTAAAGTAACTGTTTGTGGCAAAAAAATAATATTATAATGATTTAACTAAAAATCCCTGGTTACTCACGTGAATATACTGAGAAAAGCTCTACTAGTTTCGAACTACAGAGGGGTTCTTCCTCATGAGCAGCGTGCGCGTTCGCGGCGATTTCGCGTAGCCTACATTCTCAGTATATTCACGTGAGTAACCCGCGATTTTTAGTTAATTTAATATGTCTCACGATTGTTCTTAAAAAACATATAATGATTTGTTATTTATACTTTTTTCTGCAGGCAATGCCCCGTGACGAGCAGACAGGCAAGAGTTGGACCCGCGTGGGATTCATCACATACAGCTCTACTGTACACTTCTACAATATCAAGGTAAACATGTTCTATGGTCAAATATTTCATGACTTCATGGAGAAAATACTTTACGTGTGAAGGCTATGCTTCGGGACTGTGATACCACTGTCAGAGAGAAACCACGACTTCATAGGAAACAGAACGGACTGAAAATTTATTATGAGAATAAGTTTACTAGAGATTCAAGTCCAAGTCCTAATCCTCAAATCTCTAAAGTAAATCGCCGATCCCTAGATCGCCAAGCTCCAAATCCTACGTAGCGAAATCTACAAAGGGCCAGCAACACACTTGTAAACTTCTCTGGTGTTCTAAGTGTCTATAGATGAAGCCGATTGCTAACCATCAAGCGATCCATCTGCTCGTATCTTTAAAAATCCTTGTAGAATCCTCTTAGTTAGTACAACTTCAATATCCTATATCGTTTATACCCAGCTCGTTATCATTTAAAAATGTCCATTAGACTAAATATGTATATATCCGTGCAGGGTACCCTAGCCCAGCCGCAGATGCTGTCGGTGGGCGACGTGGGCGACATGTTCGTGCCCCTGCTGGAAGGGTTCCTGCAGCGCGCCGAGGACTGCGCGACCGTCCTGCAGGCCCTGCTGCAGCAGCTGCCCAGCATGTTCCAGGACAACAAGGAGACGGAGACCATACTGCTGCCTGCTGTACAGGTAACTACTGCCGGATATGGTCAACAGTTTTTGAGTCTGTCAAAAAAGTATCTTTCTTCTACAGCTACCTGTGTAGCCAACCGACCTAAAATTGATTATTGTCGTCACTCTTTCAGATTATATTGTACATATTTTACTTAGAAAACACGACTTTTGCAATTAGCTAGCACCACGGCGTCTTCTGATTTTCAGAATGTGTACAGCGGGGTAGTAGCTTGGCGCTAAAATCTTACTGTACAGGACTACCTAATCCTAATGACTACAAGCTAACGTTATCCTACACTATCTTAGATAATCTAGCACTTATAATAACCTATTCTATAATCCTAATTAATCCCGTAAGCCTAATTAACTATGTAACGGCAACTACCAATGTGACTTTGTACTTTCTAAGATGGTTTAGAAACCACTGACAAACGGTGAAGGAAAACATCTTGAGGAAATCTGGGTTTATAATTCCTAATTATAAGTTTCAAATTGCCAACCCGCATTGAGTAAGCGTGGTGATTAATGCTTAAACCTTCTTCGTGTGAGAAGAGGCTTTGCTCAGCAGTGGGCATTTATAGGCTGTTGATGATGATGAATAATAATAGTTATAATCAACTGCTCAAGGCTGATGTCGCATGAATAACACGAAAACAAAAACTATTAAAATTGGACCCTGTTAAGCAGAAAAGATCCAGCCCACATTTTATTACCTTTGAGTAAATGAAGTTTATAGTATTTTAATATATTTATATTATTATAGATTTTTTATTATCAGCCCTACATTAGACTTCATTTAATTAAAAATTAATAAAACATAGACTGAATTTTTTATGCTTAACAGGGTCCAATTGAACAATTTCTTTTTGTCAGCGTTTCGGGAGCGTTTCATTTACAACTGTGTTGTTTTTTATGAACTGTGAAATGTTACTGAGCTTTAAATAGCAAGGCTTAGTAAATACAACACTCTTTGGGTTGGCACCTCTCGATGGTGGGTGACACTTTAAAAAGAACTTTATCTATACATATTTTGACCTATAATTAATCTACCTCTAATGTATGACACCTTTCCAGGCCGGTCTAGAAGCCCTAAAAGCAGCGGACACGTCAGGCCAGCTACTAGTATTCCACACCTCCCTGCCTACTTACAACGCGCCTGGGAAGCTCACCAACAGGGAGGATCGCAAACTGCTCGGCACTGACAAGGAGAAGCAAATACTCAGTTAGTATTCATTTATATTTATGCTCATACTGCACTCATACTCATTTTGTACACAATCAGACTAATTTATTCTCATTCATGTTTATCCTGTACTCACTCGTACTCATTCTTTGCTCATACATACATACTCAAGCTTTCATCGCTATACTCGGAATTTTGATTCGATTCCAGGTTTGACAATTTCAATGTTACAACGTTATGACAAGTACTAAATAGTGACGTTGCGAAATTATTCGATATGGAAATGGAATATTTCCGAATCGATTCTTCTCGTTTATAATTTTACTTTCGTAAACTAAGTATATCAGGAAATTAAATATTTCTGACCGATAATTTAGTTTTGACGATTATTTAACGATCTGAGACTTTTCTTTTATAATTGTGTGTGAAATAAATAAAAAAAATGTAATCATGAAGGAACATGACAAACAAACAGATAGATTTATTATGGTAATAATTTATTGCCGCCGTAACTTGTCGCCGTCATCGCTATCGCTATCCTGTCACTTTCTGTAACATTTATTATAAAACAAACACACTGATTGTTTATCGGTTTTGTGTTCATCACTACAATATTATATGTGGTATCATTATTTCACAAAATGACAGTAGTTAATGTAAAATCTGTAATCGAATAAAAAATCTGACTATAGTTCCCGCTATTGTGGAAGGCGGGTAAATTGGCCCTCGTGAAGAAGGCTGGGCGCCCTGCTCACTGTAGTGGCGGTGTCTTTGGACATCGCCAATGCCGTCAACTCCCAACCCTGGAGCTGCATTTTGGAGGCATGTCGTTATCATCGGGTGCCCACCTATCTCCGTCGTTTATCGAGGCCTATTTGACGGATCGGTCCGTCATCTACCCCGGTCACCGAGGTGAGTGGAACCGGCGGGAGACGTCGCGCGGTGTTCCACAGGGTTCGGTTTTGGGGCCGCTCTTGTGGAACATCGGCTATGACTGGGCACCGACCTCCCGGACAACGTCAGCGTGGTCTGTTACGCTGAGTGTTAGCACACGGTAGGTCGCATCAAGCGGCGACTAATATAACGGCGAGAGCGGTGACGACAATCGTTGAAAGGATCCGGCAACTGGGACTCGAGGTTGCGCTCCACAAGTCCGAGGCTATGTCTATGACCAGTCCGGGTGAGTCCTAAATAACGGCGAGAGGAGTTACCATCGGCGTCGATATGAAATACCTAGGACTCGTCCTCGACAGTCGGTGGAACTTCGTGGAGCATTTCCGACGTTTGGCTACTAAGTTGGAAAGGACGGGAGCGACGGTTAGGCGCCTCCTGCCGGAGGTTACGCCGGGGTCGTGCGGTCCATGGCCCTCTACGGCGCCCCTGTGTGGGCGCCGAACCTGATGCGGCGTCCCGCTCGGCCGCTGCTGACGTCACAGAGGGTCATGGCGATCCGATTGATCCGCGGATATCGCATGATCTCCGGGGAGGCGGCGAACCTCCTTGCCGGATTACCACCGTGGGATTTGGAGGCGAAGGTGCTCTCGCGCGTTTTTTGTTTGCGCGCGGAGGCATGTCGCCGGGGCGAAACTCTGCTGCCGCGCCATATAAGTGTGTGGCGGGAAGAGCTCCGGCGCCATCTCATGGCGGAATGGCAGCAACGACTTTAGTTTTAAGGAGGAGGCAGAGCGCGTGAGGGAACGAACCTCCTCACGCCCTGGCCGTCGCGAGAGACACTCTGGGCGTCGGGGATCGCTAGACGATGTCCGGCCACCGTAAATACGGGCCTGCGGACGGCGAGCTCGGGTGACTCGCCGCCCGACCAGAACCAGGCCCGAACGTACGGCGCGTCGCGTTGCGTTCCGCGCCACTACAGATGGGGCCCAACAGGGCTGATGCCGATACGGAGCCGCGGAAGACTTAACGGGTTGCCGGTGCTCCGGCTCTAAGTGCCGGAGTAGGAACGGGGTGGTTTTTAGTCAGTAAGAGTCTGACACTCCCTCTCGCCTCACCCGGGCGGGAGAAGTCATTAGATGATTTTCCCCCCTCAAAAAAAAGGCCGCCCAGGCCAATCTTATACGCCTATCAATTTCGTTGGCTTGGTTGTCCTTTCCCATTACCACTTCTTGTCCCAGATACACATATTTAGCCACTCTTTCAATAATGGTGTCATTTACATTAATGGATGTGGTGGTGTTGGAACAGTTGGTCATGACCTTGGTTTTATCCAGATTCATTTCCAAACCGTGCCGAGGCATTACTCAGTTCCTGTATCATGGTTTCAAGGTCAATCGGATTGTCTGCAAATAGTACGATATCGTCAGCAAATCTATGGTTATTCCGTGTTTTGCCCTCGATGTTGATGCCGCAATCTCTCCAGTGTAGCATTTTAAAGACATTCTCAAGTACCAATGTGAAGAGTTTTGGAGAGATGGTAGCCCCCTGTCTTACTCCTCTCTGTATCTCTACTGGTTTGGTCTCTGGAGGTTTTACCTGTAAGGTGGCGTTCTGATCTATATTTTTCACTAGGTTAGTGTAGTGGTGATCCTGCATAGACTGAATACTGCCCAGGATTCGATGCTGTCTAAAGCCTTTTTGTAGTCTATGAATGCAAGCCACGGTGGCATCTGGTATTCTGTAGCTTTTTCTATGACTTTTCAACTTTTCCTGTTCCAGGAAGTTAATAAGGGTCCTCCCCCGGGCGTTCCTACTGCCATAACCGAATTAGCCAAGTATTTGTTCAGAATCGTCCTCCCTAACAACAATCTTCGCGTTAAAATCATCGGTGATTATTGTGTATGTAGTCTTATGGTCCTTAATGCACGAACTAATGTCCTCGTACATTTGCTCTGCCTCTATGTCAGTAGCGGTGCTTGTAGGAGCATAGACTTGGATGACTTTCAGTGTAAGATTATAGATATTATGTTTCCACTGATTCTTTTGTTAATAAGTAGAGCCACCCCGTGCTCGTGCTTATCTGAGTCGGATCCGCGGTAGTATAGAGTGTCCATTTGCGAGCTTGAGATATTTTTCACCTTGTCGTCTAACTTCGGACAATCCAACAATATTCCAATTGATTTTATTAAGTTCGTAGAGTAATTCTTCCATTCTATCTTCTGTCCTCAATGTTTGAGCGTTGTACGATGCTATCGCTAATTTTAAACGTGATTGTAAGTTTTGGCAGCGTTTGTAGTCCCAGTGATTCTTCGCACCCCTGGCGCTACCATGTCCCATACTGCTGCCTCTGTTGGGGATCGCAGCGCCGCTGGGAGCTCGGGGCCATTTTTTCATTTGTGTGTTCATAATACTGAAGGGTTTAGGCGTTAGGGTTAACCCACCCGCTTGCCTAAGGCGTCTTGGTGGGTGAGAAGTAATCCATCTGACTCGGATTTTGGATGCTACCGTTGGTCTTGTATGACTCGTCCGCTACCATCCTTAGGATGAATCATCCCTCTTTGATGTCATCCAGACCAAACAGCCGTACTACGCCTGTGCCCCCCTATCTCTCGTTGACCTCACTTCCCACTGGGATTTGCTCCAAAATCTTCCGTAAGGTTGCTCAACGTAACAGGGCCTACCGCGTGAAGGTGAGAGTGGAGTTGGGGTGAAGAGGATGAAGAATTTCGCTTAAAAAACATCTTGTCTTGCGCATGACAACCCTGTACTTAGTCGTACTAATTTGTTCTCATTATACACAGTGAGTAATCAGTTATACTCATTGTGTGCCCACGCGTACTCATTTTGTACACTCTTATACTCATCCTGTACTCACTCCTATTCATTGTGTACTCACTTATATACATTTTAGATGAAAATTGTTTTTTTTTTTTATTAACAAGTGGACATTTGTCTTGCAGACCCTCAGACGACAGCCTATAACGAACTAGGCCAGTCTTGCTGTGCAGCCGGAGTGAGTGTAGAGTTGTTCCTGTGTAACAACTCATACGTGGACGCGGCCACCCTGGGACAACTGCCTCGTCTTACCGGGGGACAACTACACAAGTACACGTACTTCACTGTAAGTACTCATCTTCCTATCCACATTATACATTCTGCTATACTTAATGTTGTTGCCAGCCACTCGTACGTGGACGCAGCCACCATGGGATTCTCGTACTCATTTGTACTCGTTCATATTGTACTCGGTCGTACTCATTTTGTACTTTACGTATTATTGAAAAGTTTTTGCGCATGGTGGATGGTACTAATGAAGTTTAAAGGCATTTATAGACCTTTCATTTCTCAAAAAAGGGTGAAATATAATGAGTGCACATTTCCACTTCTTATATCTAAAAAAATCTGTTGTAACAAAAAGTAACTACTTGGCACGGCAGGCGGAGATGGACGGCCCACGCCTCGTGTGGGACGTGCAGCGCGTGGTGTCACGCCCCACGGCGCACGACGCCGTTATGCGCGTGCGCACTTCCACCGGCGTACGACCCACCGACTTCTACGGACACTTCTTCATGGCCAACACCACCGACGTCGAGCTCGCCGCCATCGGTGAGTCACTCGTATTCAGATGGTTCATTTTTATAACGGACTAGCTGCTTTCGCGCTGTTTCACACGTTCTGCACAGCTCCTATTGGTCGTAGCGTGATGTTTTATAGCCTATAGCCATCCTCGATAAATGCGCTATCCAACACAAAAAGAATTATTTAAATCAGACTTGTAGTTACGGAGATTAGCGCGTTCAAACAAACAAACAAAAACAAACTCTTCTGCTTTATATAATAGTATAAGAGTATAAGATTGTTTTTTACATAAAAACATAACATCACGCTTTTTATCCCCAAAGGGGTAGGTAGAGGTGCACATTATGCCACTGGTACAATGTAATACCCACTTTTCACTATTTATGTTATGAATCCTATGTAATAGGGGGTGAGCCTTTTGCCATATAACGGGCACAATGAGATTTTTTTTTAAACCCAGTAATACTTTGCCCGACCCGGGGATTGAACACGAGACCCCTTGCTTGGGAGTCGCCCTTGAAACCACTCGGCCAACGATATAGTTGTTTTTTACCTTCGAGTATATTACCGAAACAACTAATAAACCAATATTATTATTACTATTAAATACGTAGAAGTAAAGATAAAGTCTATAGGAAGAGTCTTATGTAAGCCTACGCCTATTGTTATTTTTATCCATTTTTATAAGCTGTAAGTCCTCCATGAATTATAAATAAATAAATAAAAAGTGAGTATGTAAAGATAAGATTGTCAGTATGCATATTATGTGAGCACCATGTTAGACTATAACATTTCTTTTTGTTTTGTTTATTTTTTTTATTAAGTCAAGCGCGTCTTTGCATTGTTCTCACTTATACGTACAGTATTGGAATATGTATCAGAGACATTGTAGAACATACGTTTTTTAAAAAGAGTAACGTATGGAGTTTCTTGCTCGTTCTCCTCCATTCGAATCTACATTTTGGAATGAGCACCTAGCTTCACCTAGCTTCACTGACGGACTGACTGATAGACTACATATTTATTTTGTATTTGTTGACGTTTCGAAAGTACCAAATTATGGTTTATTTGAAATAAATGATTTGAGTTTGACAGAAAAGAAAAGTTACATAACATAACATAACATCACGCCTTTTATCCCCGAAGGGGTAGGCGGAGGTTCACATTATGCCACTGTACAATGTAACATCCACTTTTCACTATTTATGAGTCCCATGTAATAGGGGGTGAGCCTATTGCCATATACCGATTTATATTAGATATAAAAGAAAAGTTATACATAGTTATTATAACTCTCAAGAGTGTCAGTAACCCGTCCAAGCCAGTTTCAGTCGCGACGGATTCGTTCCATCACCGCAGCGTGAATGTTGTACGTTCTAGTATGATAAAACCCTAAATTAATGTGCTTTGCTATAACCGACAAATCTTATGTTTCTAGACGCAGACAAGGGTATAGGCATAGAAATAAAACACGATGACAAGCTGACGGCGGAGGATGGAGTCTACATCCAGGCGGCACTACTGTACACGGCCAGGTGTGGACAGAGGAGGCTCCGGGTACTGAACCTGGCACTCAACGTAGCGCACCAACTCGCTGACGTCTACCGCAGCATGGAACTCGATACTTGCATCAACTTCCTCACCAAGCAAGGTATGGTGGAATAAGATCTGCTTTTTTGAGGGAGGTGAATCATGGAATGACTCCTCTTGCCTTGAGTAAGACGAGAGGGAGTGTCAGATTTTTATTGACTAAAAAATCATTCATCATTATTAGTTACAATATTTTTACTTTAGAATAAAGGTCTGTCTTTCATTTTTAATGTGACGATATTTATTTATCAACGTTTCATGCTTAAAGTGTGCAATAGGTGGACTTAATGCCGCCGAGAAGAGTTAATGGTAGGAGCAAGAGGCAATCTACGAATTTATTAGAACAAATAAAAGATACTTTAACTTATTTCAGAGATAAATATAAATAAATATAATTATAATATACACACGAGTATATACAGTACACATAAATATATACATACAATGAACATAACAATATTCATGTTCAGCAGATGATTTAGGAATGGTATTTGGTTAACAAAAAAGAAGAGGGTGGGTGATTGTTGTGTATCTGTAGTATACTCTATGGTCATAGTATAGTCTATGGTGATAGATTATCTATGTGCGTGGCGGAGCCCGCGATTTTTTAAAACAATTGAAGACGAATAAATGTGTGTCGATAGCCTTCTCTCTTTTTACTTATATTTCGTTTACTTAAATAACATACTTAATAGTGATTGTGTCTATTTTGTGGTTACTGACCATAGTTTTGGGACTTTTCCTAAGTATGTTCCAAAAGTTCTTGAATGTTATTAGTAACCAAGTGATATATTAGATTGTGGTGGCATGTCTTTTTATAAGTATGTGGAAAATGATAAACAACTTCCCCCGCCAGCGGTGTGGGCGCTGCGCGAGCACCCCCCGCGGCAGGTGCGCGAGTCGCTGTCGCAGCGCTGCGCGCGGTCGCTGGCGGCGTACCGGCGGCACTGCGCGTCGCCGTCGTCGGCCGGCCAGCTCGTGCTGCCCGAGCCCATGAAGCTGCTGCCGCTGTACTGCAACTGCGTGCTGCGCGGCGACGCCGTGGCGGGCGGGCCCGACCTCACCTGCGACGACCGCGCCGCCGCCATGTTCCGCGCGCTGGCGGCCGACGTGCCCGCGTCCATAGTGTACACGTACCCGCGCCTGCTGCCGCTGCAGCGCCTGCAGGACGCGCCGCCCGCCGCGCTGCAGCCGCTGCGGGCCTCCGTCGACAAAATGAACGACCACGGCGTTTATCTACTCGGTCAGTTGTACTCTATTATCTATTATCAGTTCAAGGAAAACGTGATTTCGTTACAGATGTAAAATAATATTTTTAATACGTTAAACACAATGAAGTCGGGTCACCAACGACCAATGTTAGCGAAGAATTTACCTTCAACAGTTTTGTATTGACAGCCAGTGACTTAAACAAAGCAATTATTGATACCATTTCTCTTTTGTAGAATGTTTCCATTTTTATTTTAATAAATGCAAAACACTCACTTTTCGTCCATTTTAAAATAATATTTTCACGTGCTTACCACTGCACACAATTCTAGACTTCAAGTAACTACTGAAAATTACGGCAATTCATTAAATAATCATACTTTACTCAACCCTTCAAGCAATCAAAAATTTTCGTTCAACAAACTTACCTTTGAGCACTCAAATAAATATTTTTTTAAATATACTTTTTTGATATAATTGATGGGCCAACGTTTAGCACGTCGATATAATTCATAACTACTCAAAATCCAACCTTAACCACAATAAAACACAACTTAAATTCTCCAAATCACAGAAAACGGCGTCCACATGCTCCTATGGGTAGGATCGCAAGCGAGCCCCGAGTTCGTCCGCGACGTGTTCGGCGTGCCGTCCCCGCAACAGATCGACACGCAGGTCTGCGAGCTGCCCGTCCTCGACTCGCGCGCCAACCAGAGCGTCAGGGAACTCATCGAGGATACGCGCATCAAACGACGAACTGCTATGAGGGTGAGTGTCAATATTTCTAATTTACTTGATATTAATACTAAATTATGTGGTTTTTTTCTTGTAGTGACTGCTTATCCTGTAGTACATAAACCGTGAGCGTCACGTGTAATAATTATAGTCGATATACAATCTATATTTTATTATATAAAATTGAATAATGTTCATGCGGCTTACGTCATTATTAAGTGCTCGAATATTTTCGAGTGCAACTAAAAGCTCTCGTATGGCTCAAAACTGTACAAGTATGTCTTATGAACATTATTTTACTGTTATATTTTTAATCTGTTCTTTTTTCCAATGCTAGAATTTTCTTCGTTTGTGTAAAATAGTCATTTGTAAATATTATTAAAAAGAACACGGACACCAATCAAGCTACTCTGTACATAACATGATTAATTAACTCGTCGAGTACCGGTTTTGTAGACACAATTATAGAACAATAGGTTGCGGTCACCGGTGACCGCTTGGTGTTTGACAGTTTAAATAGATAAGGAATCAGTTGATCTTTTTATACCTGTACATAGATTTCTTTGTGTACAATACATAAATACAATACACACACAAGACAAATGATTCAATTAATTTTCCTACTGAATGCTCTGCATGTGTTGATAGAGCTTTTAATTTTTCTTCCAAGTATAATCATTTTAGTAGAATGAAATGCGTTCTATCTTTTTTGCTACTTTTTTTATTTTGCTCTGGTCGCCATGCCTAATGAAACTGCTATCAGTTTTTTTGAGAGTAACATAAGATGAAGTTTTCCAAGGTTTTCTTGTGGTTTTTTTCTGTATTGTAAAATCAACAATATCACGTTATAAATGTTATAACAAATACAAAAATTTACGTTTTGATTTGAAGTAATTTTCATAATTAAAGATAACTCGGACAAATACGAACGAATATCCAGCTGTTAGTCAATCGATTTCGTACAGTAAAGTTGACGAAAAATATGATCCATGAAAACCAAACTGAAACAATGTTGATTTTACAATCAGAAAAATAGATACACGAAGCTCTCAAAGCTTATAGACTTGGCATGTGTGCATGGCATCTACCTTCTTCTCTTGGCACCCAGCTGACCATAGTCCAGCAGTCGTCCGCGGCGCCACTGGCGCGAAGTCTGCTGGTGGAGGACCGAGGCCTGGACGGCTCCGACGGCTACATGGAGTACCTCATGTCCGTGCACAAAGCTGTGCAGAAAATGCTGTACGTTTCAATCGGTTCTGGAAATTTCTGGGCGTTTTTGGCAGTCGGGAACCGTTTTGGGGTCATTTGCGATGAAGGGCTTTGGTGGGCGTGGCATGGAATTGAAAGTTGTGGGGTTCACAATACCATTGAGAACACTATTAACCATTTTTTTATTTGGGTTAGACATTGTGTTGTCCCTGTCATTAAGTTTGCAACACAAACCTTGACACAACAGTGTTGCCAACCTTTTCACTGACTTTAAAAAAAGGTACTAATTTAGTAATGTCGAATTTCTTTTTTTTTTAGCCGCCATCATTCATTATAGAGCTTTATCAGATATTGACTTTCAATTCCACTGCCCTAATGATGGATTATTGATTGGTATTTTCAATTTAAGTGCTCTAGGCCTTGCATGCATTAAGAAATTGTACTTAAATTGCAATCGGATGGAGATATTCGGTGATACGCTGGTTTTTCTCGCTACCCTTGTGTGACGCTTCTCATATTTGCCGGAATGGTCTGTTTATATTGGTTTTTATTTTTATATATTTCTTCATTTGTATTAAGTGTTTAATAACTTGACTGTACACTATTTCATGTATTATGTTTGTGTATATTTATAGTGATAAAATTAGTAATATTATTATCATTATGTTATATAAAACACCCATACATGTAACGTCAAAATATTTTTTATGATCGCCACATAAATATAGCTATCGTTTCTAATACACAAAAACATACATAATATCAAAGCCACAATACATAATGCTAATACTGAAATCATTCACGATTCAATTTGCAATTACATTTTAGTACCCAACTTGATTCAAGTCTGAAAAATAACTACACCTGGAAAATATTGTAATAATTTTATTTTTAAAACACAATTTGTTTTGTGTTAAAAAATCCTTGCACTAAGGATTTCTCCTAATTACGATACTTATTTAACGCTTCAGGTTTAGTAATTCAAATGGTTGCATATATATACAGAAGAATAAAATACCAAATGATCAAGTTTATAGTAGTAATACAATTTTGTCTTAATACAGGAACCATATTTGTATCATAATATGACCTGTAAAAAGAACGATAATGTATTTTTTCAACTGCGCCATATTAATAGATGAGGATGGGAGCTGAAACTAATGTTTCAGTTTAACTCCCTGCCAGAACAAAAAAGACAAAAAGTAAACCTATACCATTTTCTAAACATTCGGGACTTGTTCCAGCTAACAACAATGCGACAGCACGACAAACTGGAGGCGGTGTTACGTCACTTCTTGGTGGAGGACCGCGGCGTGGACGGGAGCTCCTCCTACGTGGACTACCTGTGCCACATCCACAAGGAGATCAGAGCGTTACTATAGCATCTGTACGGACATTACTAAACCGTGGACACACTTTAACATGGACTCTCATTTTGTACCGAACTTCTATTAGTGTTTCTGCTATGATTAGTGCTCTTTTGGCGGCGCTGGTGTAGCTTAAAGTCGCTTAGGACATATACCTATAAAAGAATAAGTGTTGGTTTTGACTTTAAACTACATTACGTGCCTTAGTGGCGTTAAAAAATATTTCAAAAAAGTGTATTATAAATAAAATTGTTGCTAATACTAAAATCGTTGTAATAGATCTTTGACGGCTTTGCTAGTCAAAGCAATATTGGGGGTTTTGAGAAATTGTCAGTTTTAGTATGAGATTAAATGACATAACTGGCTGAGAGTGTACTGAGTGCATTACTGCCTATCCTTTAAATGCGTTATGTTAAAGAAGTACTTAGTAAAAAAATATATTTCAATCTCTCTTTCGCACTTGTAGTTTTAAATTGGAGTAAGAGAGAAAGAATATGTTAATCTCACTCGGTTTTACAGTCTCTTGAAAAATCTATGAAATGTATTTAAATAATTAGAGATTTATCAGAGATGATTTGGGAGGAGACATGTAAAACTGGTTTTCATGTTTAAAAAAATTAGCATTGTTAAAATTTTAAATTAATTTATTTCGTACAATCGTTTTGGGTTAACTTGGACCTAAGGAACGCAGACTGTATAAATACTTTGGACATATTGTTCTAGTCTCTGCCTACTCCCATAAGAAAAAGGCTTGGTGAGATCATCGACAGAATAAGAAGAATGTAGCGGGTTTGATTCTCTATTCGTGTGTGTGTACCTATGGTTAGATTTTACCCAAAATAACTGTATATTTAATAAATTGTCGCAATAATTATATATGTAAATAAATTCTCGTATATATGTTTGTATGTAAAGTTAAACAAAGTAAGTAAACATGTAAAGTACCCACATTCCTCCCTTGTACAGTTATCAAATAAATATTTTCATTCTAAAATTCATGTTTTTGAAAAAACTACTAAAACAGATTTTCTACCAAAATCAGGGTTGCCAGTTGAAATGTGAATATTAAATGTGGGTTTTGGTGATGGTCCAATTTAGGCTTCCAGAATATCTGTATTTACTGTTACGATGAGTCGGTATAGTAATTACAGTCTTAAAGCTAAGGTAATAAGGTTGCTTTTACAACAAATGTTATTAATGTCACTGATTGAAGTAGTTATAGGCTCCTAGTGGCTAGAGGACCATTAATAGCTTTGAAGATTAGTCTCCTGCAATAAACGTCTTTATGCAATCGATTATAAGGTGCAAATTCGTTTAACAGCCGTTTTCAAGTTGTCGTTTTTGTCCTATCTGACTATTAACGTCCAATTATAGCATTTATTATATTAATAGTGAATATTATTATCCTGACATACTTAAATAGGGTAGGCAGAAGTGTACTTGTATGCTTAGAAAATTAGGTTTTACTATAAGAAGTTAATAAATCTATAGTGTTATGAAATTACACCTGAATTTTGATTGTGTATCTGTAAAATGTACACGTTTGCCTACCTGTACGTGTAAAAGGTACAGTGGCCAGCAGGTGAACCTATTCTTTTCTGTTTTTCGATTTTCAACTCTATCGCTTAGATATGAAATCGAAAATACAATGACGAAGTGGAAGTGGGTTATGTGCTGGTCACTGTACAATGAATAGAAATAGTAATAGGTTTTCGTTTTGTTCTCAATAGATGGCGCTGGTGATGATAACGGTAGTGTAAGTGTTGAAGTTAAGTTACCAATGGCTTAACCCACTTGTCTGTCGATATTTGAGACACAATAGAAAACAATGTTTCGCGTAGTTCTGCGTGCCGACTCTTCACAGGTTAATTAAAGACAAAGCTATTGGATAATGGTTCTTAAGCCCAAGAGTTAATTCATCATCGATGAGTATTTTACTCTTGTACTCTTTTCGCAATTAACTCGTCGAGTACCGGTTTTGCAGACACAATTATAGAACAATAGGTTGCGGTCACCGGTGACCGCTTGGTGTTTGACAGTTTAATTTAAACTCAAACTCAAAAGCATTTATTTTATCTAAACCATAATTTTTAACTTGAATCGTCAACGAATATAAAAGAAATAATAGTCTGTCAGTCTGTCCGTCAGTGAAGCTAGGCGCTCGTTCCAATGGCTGTGTCTGTTCATATATATTAACTAGACAAATTCGGTAGTTTCATGGTTAGTTTCTCCTGTAAATCTTGGCTTACAGGAATTGTAACGATTGAAAATAACCAATGGTAACATTAGCACGTAGTGTATAAGTATCAGTGAACTTAAAATCACACTAGCGCCCTCTATAGGAGAGTATACATACAAGAACCTTTTACTAAAGTTATTAAAAGATTCGTTACTATACTTTAATAAAGTCTTTGAGGTCAGTGACCTCTAGGCAAAGCAATGTACGTTAAAACTTGAAAAGACTTAACTTTGTACAGTTAATACTTGTTTTTCATTAATTTTTATATGCAAGGTGATTTTTTTCCAAGAAAACTTACCTATATTAATTTCATTTGGTTTTATTTTCAGTGTATTACAGCATTTTTAACCCTACATTTTCATCAAAAATCGCCCTGTGTATAAAAAAAAAACTAGCTCATACAAGACTTGACGATGAATGCATCGCAGTGTAAGATCAAAAGATCATACACTTCCAATAAACAACTTATTCACGTCTCTATCATAAAGGTCATAAGGTCCAAATTACATTCGTTCTTGAGCAGTAACTGTCCTTCTCACACAACTGTATTCTTAATGTGTGAGAAAGAGATAAGACTACTTAGCCTAAGCACGTACTATGTTTGACCTTAAGTAATTCTCCGATTATGAAAGTCAATTTAGATATGGTTTTCTACTTAAAATAGGGAGTTAATTATATTATATTAAACTTACATAAGTTTGGGATCGAACCTGAGACATTTCGAATATAAGAACGATCGAGTCATCTTCCAATGTAAATTAATTTTAAGTATAATTATTACGTTCTACATTGGTTTGAATTAAAATACATCAATAAAAGTATTTAATTTTCCAAAAAGTTAATTTTCAAAATTACCATGTTTAAAAAAATATTAAAAATTATATTTTCCAGTAGTGTGCTAGTAATACTAGTAGCTCAAGTGTTGCTACACGAAAAAATAAATTTAAAAATTAGTAGAAATGTAATTTTCTCTATATGTAAGTTGTTTTTGTTTAATCAGAGAAGTTGTTTCCTACGATATTAAAGCTAGAAATATGTTTATTTGATTGTATTTTATAATGTAAATAAAATATGGCATTATTTAACCCTTATTTGTTCTTATTTTATGTTCTTTAATTTTCTTCTTAACTCGTCGAGTACCGTCACCGGTGACCGCAACCTATTGTTCTATAATTGTGTCTATAATGAAGGTACTCGACGGTATTAAAAATATTATCATTCCACTCCATTCGTTTAAAATTGAACTCCAACTACCATTTAAAATTGAATTAACTTTATTTTTCTAATTTATTTTGAGTTCGTCTAAAGGCTGATTTTTCAATCAACAGATAATTTTGAACTGAGAATAAAATTGATATTAGACAGTTTTTAATATAGAAGAATTGTTTAATATTCTAAGTTATTCTTCCGATAAAATTGATATGGTGTTGGAAAAATCGACCTTAAAATTAAATAATAAAGAAGACCCGGCAATTTTAAGCCAAATTTTTAATTTTTTTAGTCACCATACGGCAAGTCTTAATAAACCTATCTAGGTGTATACTAGACTAGACATTTGGCTATAGACTAGAGATGGAATTTTGACACGAGCTGCACTGTACAGGCTGCATTGGCGCAATGACTGGACGACTGCCTGCCATGTGACGAGCCACGGTGGTCTTTGTGTGATCTACAAATTGTTATAAATTATAAATGCATGTGACAATTATAAATTTGTAAACGCTCCCACGACACGCAGAAAATTCTAGTGTACAGCCATATTTAAATTTATTATGTGTCAGAATTTTATCTTTAGCAACCTAATCTACAGAGATAGGTTAATTACGATAAGCCGTTTAATAAGAATCTTCCGTAGTTTAGTTTAGCTTGTTAAACCGTGGTGTGAGAGACAAGATATTGTTAAATAGTGTTAAAATGTGTGACTATGTAAGTTTCTAATAGTTAATAAATCTTTTTATATTTAAATGCTTTTATTTTTGTACATAGCACTCACAAAATAAGCACTATCACTATATTTTAATTTTTCAATAAAAATTGGGCAGTCATTTTACTCACTAGCGCCATCTCACAAACGCGAAATCGGAAACCCATTTTGAAATCGATGGCAAAGATTTTGGTTTAAAATAAAACGCGTTCATATTAAATAAGTAATATTGTTTATATAAAGTTACATAAATATTGTTCATTTAGTTAAAATAATTAAATAAATAAATTTGTTAACTATTTTATTGTTATCTACAAACTATTGATTTTGTTTGACATCTTGCGACTTCGATGAAACGGCTGTCATGTATTCTGAAAAATAAATAAATAGGATTCAAAGAACAATAGGTTGCGGTCCCTGGTGTCCTCGCGGTTATTGACAGTTTAAATAAAATAGGGTTTATTTAAATCTTGGCAGATGGTTAGAGGGTCGCAGTTAAGTCACCAAAAATGTTATAGTTCGTCTCGACAACATTGACCTGGAGACTCGGTTACCATTCAAGAAAAAAAAAATAGTCAACAAAACTTTTCGTAGTTGCTTATCCTTCGATGGTTGGACACTGTTTTAAGACATACCCTGGTCGTCCGTACATCATCCAATCGCAAATAATCTTTTTCCCTCCCTCCTCTTAGCTACTTGTTTCGTCTTCCACGTAAAATACTGACCAATCTAAAAGACTACCGACCTGATAAAAGCCAGGAGAAAGTAAAAATGGTTTATGGCCGGCAACGCACTTACGAAACTCCTTTGATACTGTGGGTGTCCATGGGTTACGCTGAAAACTTACCACCTATCTTTATCTCACTAAAAGAAAATCAATATGATAGATTGTTCACCTTTTTAGGATATATGACTTCAACATCGATTGTGTTGTAGTGGCTCGACACGTCGGTGTAGGTATTGTGACGGTAGTAGGCTATCACCACGGCGCCCAGCTGCAGTAGCAGCACGCACGCCTTGGCGAACCTCATCCTGGAACATCTTGACGAACAAACGGACAATCAGTCACAATAACTGTATATTTAGTCACAAGAGGTAGATAGAATTTGTCAAAAGCAATGCAAACCATTTGAGGTAACAAATAATCGTTTTTCGTCTGACAAAGGGCATTGATTAAAATTGGTGTCTTTCTTTTTTCTGGCGGCAGTCGATGATTTATGGAAAATATTATCTAGAATGACATTACAAACGAAATTGTCTATGGGCTCATATATGGAAATCTCAGTCTGGACTGAGTTATGAGCGTTGAAAGGACCTGGAGTCAAACATTTTACTTCGGTTTTTTATTCAAATTATTCATATTTTTGTCACAATTCCTAACTTCAAATTGCGCGCCACTGTATTCCAGGCACAGGAAAACCATATCACACCACAATATATTCATATTACCAGGCACTAATTTTTATTACCTATTTTCTCTCAGTCGATAACTTGTGGGATGCTTCTAGGAGTTGTGTCATGAAGCTTCATGAGCGTCAGCTGTGGTACCAGTGGTGGGTTGAGTAGTGGTAGCCGTCCAAACATCTAATAAAGTATTTATTTTTTTTGCCATTGACTCCTGGCGGGAGACTCATCTACTTATAGTTAGTATAATCTTTTGAAGAAAGGAAACCGTCGGTTTTAAAGTGATCAGCGCTACTTAATCCGCTACCGACGCCGCAGCTGACAAACATAGCATTTCATGATAGGGCTCAGTAAGGTATTTTGCGGGTTTTCGACTGAGAGGAAATTGATCATGAAAATCTGTCATAGGCCATAAACCGTATACATATAAAGTGAACACGCTAGCCAATCAAGCGAAATGTTTTTTTTTTACTTGAGCAGTAGACAGTTAACGGTTCACTCTGTTCTGCTTCCGTGCCCATAAGGCCAAACACAAAAAAACAAAAAAAATAATAATAAAATAGTCTACAATAAGCTTTATTACATTCCTTGAAATCGTTTATAATCATTTATTACAAAATATTTCTGACAAGTAAATGAAGTTAAATGCGTTGTGTACTGTCACCATCAACAAATAACACTAATAATATAGCACTATTTTCACATCTTTGAACTGATTTAACTCGGTTCGGACTGTGTTTTTGATATAAGACCCCATATATTTTTTGGTTTGTAATGTTATTCTGCATCAGTTTTTCCACATCCGGTCAACTGCCGCGAAAAAATTAAAAGGCACCACGCTCCATACAAATTTGGTCATTGTCATTTATAACCAAAAGTCCAAACATTACAAAACATAAGTATCGTTCCAAGGAGGTCCGGCTAGTCAGCTGTTTTCTTTGCAATTTGCAACAATTTTTGATTGACATATTAATTTTATTTTATCACGAAACAACAAGGTATCGTGAGGGTATGGTTTGAATGACCCTATTCTCCTGCTCAACAATGAACTATTATGGAATATATTTCATAAAATTTTACTAAAATAAAAATTAAAACTTCCGAACCATATAAAATTAATATGTTTTCGGTTTTCTCACGTACTGTTTGACGAAGAACTCTACTAATTTCAAGTCATGCTAAAGTCTTATTCATAAGTAGCATACATTGTGCATCCTAAAACCGATTTGGACATACGGTGTACAGCTCTGGGGATCGGCAAGCCACTCAAATATTGAGATCCTCTAGCGCTACCAAAACAAAGTGCTAAAGGTACTGGTTAATGCACCGTGGTTCACACGAAACACGGAGGTGCACGAATATCTACAGATTCCGACAGTCAAGGAAGAAATAAAGAGTTCATCTGTGTCTTACAAACAACGCCTTGGGCGACACATTAACCATCTGGCTTCACAGCTCATAAACTCAGACAACTGCTTATCTCGACTGAAAAGAAAGCAACTAGCGTCTACATAAACCCATTTTTAGGGAAAAAAGAAATAGAGTTAGCATGTCACAGGATGTGCAACTCTCCAAAGTCCCAAAAGCACGTCATCTCATCTGATTAAAGCCGTATCGGCTGATTGTAGATCTGAGGAGAAAAATAAACAAAAAAAAAATAAGTAGTATACCGTGACCCGTGACCCGCGACGCATCGACTGTCGTGCTGCTACTCAAGTCTACTAGTCGAGTTTCTCGTCAATCAGTTACGTAAGTAAGCCGAAAACATGATGATTAAAATAATAATTAATTCAATTCTTACCGGTTTTTGGCACAGAACTTTAAAGACAACTCCTCAATAGTTGCAGAGGACATAATATTTAGCTAGATACGGACGAAGAAAAGCGTTACACAGCGTTACGTTGCACCTCAATCTCTAAGTTCCTTTTCAAACTTTACAACTCATTTGCCTTTGCCTTTGCCTTTGCCTGTGCCTTTGGGCATTGTATCAGGCTGTAAACAAAAATATATATTAGGCACTTTAGTTTTACTGCACCGTGAAACTGTGTGGCAGAGTCACGCATAAAAACCCTCAAAAACTAAAAGCCTCCATCCGAAGCAGTTCAAATGAGTAAGATAACGGTAAAATGGGTTGAATGGGGTTTGAGCGGCGAAAAGGGGCAGAGGAGGAGTGAGGGGTAGACGACTAATTTTTATTTTAATGTCCGTCTGGTAGATTATTTAAAAACATTAGACACGTATTTTTTATTTTCTTACGGAAACGAATAGTTTCGAAGATATATTGATTTGAAATGTCGCGTGACGTCACTTCTCAGTACATTTTATACTAAGAAATGACGTTTTAGCCCCCACTCCTAAACTTTGATTCGTTTTATCTAAGTATTGTTTTATTATACAACAAAATAAAAAAATACGTGTCTAATATTTTTTTATTACCTAAGTTACGGACTAATTATATTTTTAATTTTCATACCCTGTCATCATCCCCAATTGTCCCTATTCACCTCTCGATCCCTATTCACCCTATTTTACGGTAATAAGTTTTTAGAGTGTCTATTGTCAACTTATAGAACTTATTTATTCGCGCGAACGACAACTATCCGTAAAATGCGAGAAAGGCTGTAAACATCAAGCTACGATCAATAGGTCCAGCGTTAAAACTGCGCGGGAGGACAGCTTGGCAAAAAGAGTTTGACGCGGTGACAGCTGGAACTAAAACTAATATTAATTTGGACCGAATCACCCACTTTGGACCATATCCCATGAATATACAATCATCCGAACATAGTACCTCCTCTTTTTAAACTCGATACAAATAACGTAGGTATATTACTATTTATCTTATATGTATTGTATAATATTCTAGCAAGGGCCCAATTGTTTGTTGTTTTAATACGTCAATCAATCAATTGGGCTCGGTCTATTGTACACTAGACTTTTCATGTGACCCCACACATAAAAGTACATGGGGGTCAAGTCTTGATTGGTCTAGACTCCTGGCATGGCAGTCCACGATGGTTCACATCTTACGATCCACTAATTAGTGTTCAGCCACTCTCCGCCACTCTTTCAGAAGCGAGGGGGGGCAACCATCGAGCAAATCAGATAGTTCATTTTTCATTTCTGCGTCTTTGTTTCAAGATTCTTCCGAGAATTCTATCCATACCCTAGCATGTTATACCTTATTAGAAAGCTTTATCAAACATCTACAGAAAATTGGTTATAGACTTTTAAAAATATTTTACTAAGAAAACCAAGTGTTTTCACAATTTATTTGTGTTTTAATAATCCTTCGTCTACTACGCCTCTGTCGGTGTGGTCACTTGCAGTTGTATGGTTTCAAATAAACAACTAATCTTCTACACAAAAATACTGCATAAAACAGTATAAAATTAAGACACAAAAAAGGGGGCAAGTGATTTTCAAAGACCAATATCTTGCGAACGGTTAAGTTTGGGATTTGGCGTTCTTTAGTCGGTCAGGAATGGTGCATACAACCACCTCCTAAAGGACATAGGTCGACTTAACCTGTAACCCTGGATGGGTGCGCTTACCCTGCGACAGCAAACTTTGTCACTCTTGATATGTTGTTGCCTGCAAGCTAAGACGTCGCCAATAAACAAGGCAATGAGCAGGAACAATTCGAGAATATTCTTGAACATTACTGAAAATGATAGTAAAAAAATTAACAGTCTGTCAAATCTAGATGCAATGTTTGTTTATAAACGCATCCACGACTCAGGACAAAATCCTAGTGTGGGGTAAAGTTATTTAGAAATATTGAAATTTATTACTTCTCATTAGCATTACAGGGATGGTCCTCCATCACATGGGATGTATAAATAAAGTAATTGATGAATAGTGGGTGTCACATGATGAAACTAGTCGAGTTTCTCGCCAAACAACCACGCAAGCCGAAAACATAATAATTAAATGATCGATTGAAAGACCATTGGTCGTAAAAATATGACGTCACAATACACCATCTTGTACAAACATAGAAAACTGTCGTTTTGACAGTTCGAAAAAAGTATTGATTTTGACTAGTTGACAAGTACCCAATTAACCGACTTGAAAAAGGGGGTTGAAGACGATTTTTTTATGAAAGAATTATAATATCATAATGTAGAGTAGTCGCTTACCTTTGGTACAATCACCCTGATAGGGCATGGGTCATATCCTAGATCAGGGTGATCTCGTGCATACAAGATAAGAAGTTCCTTTTCAAACTTTACAACTTATTTGCCTTTGCCTTTGCCTTTGCCTTTGGGCATTGTATCAGGCTGTAAACAAAAATATGTATTAGGCACTTTCAGACGTACAAAAACTAAAAACCTCCATCCGAAGCATATAATGTTTCAGAGTGTCAATTATAATATACATATATTATGTATTATTTCGCGCTAACGACATCTTTCGGTAAAATCCAAAAAAAGGCGGAAAGTGATGCAAGTAAAATCCGGATTGAAAGCTCTAGTTAGAGTAGAATACATTCCATTTCACCACTCTTCCCGTGGGTACCGTAAGAGCCGACTTATAGCCAAAAAACTAAATCTCAATTATGGATTGGATTAATGTCGATTTTTGACAGCAATTCCAAACAATAAATGTCATAAAGCGATCCTCTTTCACGGATCTTGGAGTGAGATGGTTATTGATTTCAGCCGTTGGGGACTACACTCTTACCAGAGACGGGGTCGCAAAAATCTCTGATATACCTGAACCAAACTGCTATCATCATTGCGTGGAGGTTATAGCTAACCTTCTTGTGTAGAGAAAGCCCGTAGGCCAGGCCCAGGCCCATAGTAAAGCACATAGGACTGCCACGGTCTGTTAATATTACATGTCATTTTGATTGACTGCCTCGTTGGCCGAGTGGTCGCAATTGCGACTGCCGAGCAAGGGGTCTCGGGTTCGATTCCCGGGCCGGGCAAAGTATTACTGGGTTTTTAAAAAAATCTCAGTAGTAGCACGGAGTCTGGAACTGTGCCCGGTATATGGCAATAGGCTCACCCCCTATTACATGGGACTCATAACATAAATAGTGAAAAGTGGGTGTTACATTGTACAGTCGTATAATGTGCACCTCTGCCTACCCCTTCGAGGATAAAAGGCGTGATGTTATGTTTGTCATTTTGATTGTAATTCACTAGAACTAGAGGCTTGAATCAAAATAAGTTTATATGGGATAGTGACAAGAAAACGGATTGGCTATAGAAAGCTATAAGACGAGACTGGTGGAAGCAGGGTCGGAAGGCCTTTGCCCTGCAGTCGCACTGCAGGTTGAAAAATGGGATAGTCCATATATCGAGGAAGGAAAACATCAATCTACTACGATCAATAGGAGCAGCGTTGAAACCACGCGGGATTGCAGCTTGGCAAAAAAGAGTTTGAAAGTGGCTCTGGAACTAATATTAATTTAGATTGAATCACCCACTTTGGACCATATCCCATTAATATATAATCATCCGTACACAGTACCTGCTCTTTATTAACACGATAAAAATAACAAATACATATATATTACGATTTATTTTACTTTATTTGTTTTGTATTCTTGCACAATCCAAACAGCAAAACTATGTAACTAGAGAATTGTATTGTGAACGTGGTTGAAAAAGAGTAACGGAGTTTCTTGCTCGTTCTTCTCCATAGGAATCTACACTTTGGAATGAGCAAATTGTGCCAAAATACACAAGTTCTAACGTGTTCGAAGCCGACGACCGTCTCGCATGTTTTTCGGTACCGAAATCATGTAAGGTTTAAAAAACGGTTAAGCCCAACCTTTATTTCTAAGGGTATCGGTATGGCTCAACCTTAATTTTGAATCGGTATCGATATATTTTTGAGGTATCTTAACCTTTAATCGTAACCGCTTTCAGTCCCTGTTCAAAAGTGCCTTTCTGGTCTAATTGAAATAAATGATTTTGACTTTGTATAATATTTCTCAGCGCCGCGACTCGCGTATATTTTTAGCATATCCTGACTTTCAAACAATTTTTCTTGTTTTTCTTAATTTTTGTAACGACTATTTTCTTTCTTTCTTTTAAAAATCAAAACTGATTGAGTCGGTGTGTACCAGGTCGCTACAGGTACGATACTAGCGACTTACCAAGCTCCAACTCCTTGTTGCCAAGCTGAACCCAGTTAAAGACAAAATAATTATATAGTATATGTTCTTACCCTGCGACAGCAAAATTTGTCACCCTTAATACCTCTATGTTGTTGCCTGCAAGCTAAGACGTCACCAAGAAACAAGGCAACGAACAGGAACAGTTCGAGAATATACTTGAACATTACTGAAAATGATAGTAAAAAAAATAAAAAAATTAACAGTCTGTCAAGTCTAGATGCAACGTTTGTTCACGACTCAGGACATAATCCTATTATTATAATCGATTTTTTTAAAGAAAGAATTAATAATATCTATTATCATAATTTGGTTTAGTCGTTTACCTTTGGTATGATCACCTTGACAGCGCTTGGTTGATATCCTAGGTCAGGGTGACAGGGTCGGCAGTATGAGTTACGACGACACAAAAACCTACGCCGTTTGCATCCCTGAGTCACGTCCAACACAGACAGCGCGATATGTATGAATACCAGGAAAAATTCATTTAATAGCACCATTATCATTGATACCTGAAAGAAATATTAAAGACTGTAGTAGAACAGGAATGACAATTTCTTTTATACCTCTTTGATAAAACAATATTTGTGTGTTCTAGGATTACTGGGTTTTTAAAAAAAATCTCAGTAGTAGCACAGAGTCTTGTCATGTGCCCGGTATATGGCAATATGGCACCTCCAATTACATGGCACTCATAACATAAATAGTGAAAATTATGTGTTACATTGTACAGTGGCATTAAGTGCCGTAATGTGCACCTCTGCCTACCCCTTCTGGGTAAAAGGTGTGTGTATATGTATATATGTTCTAATTACCACAGCAATAGTGCTAGTGATTAGATTTCACGATTACCCATAGGGCTTTATTTACCCATAGGGCTGTATAATACCGGGACACCATGGCAGCGCAACCAAACAAAAACAAACCCGATCGATCCTAAACACTACTTTTATTACCAAAATTGTACTTGCTCAAAATGTTTACTGAGATATATTATTGTAACAGTGATTACTATAATAGTATTTTTTTTTAATGGGGAAAAATCATCGAATGACTGCTCCGGCCTGGGTGAGACGGAAGGGAGTGTCAGACTCTTACTGACTAAAAACCACCCCGTTCCTTCTCCTGCACGTCGAGCCGGAGCCCCGGTTACCCGTTAGATAGTAGTCTACTAAAATTCTGAACGTAAATATTTGAAAGCCTCACATATAAATGCAAGGAGTACTGAACATCTACTCCTTCACCAAGTTGTTCTCGTTGCAGTAAAGGTAGTCTAGCGGAGAGCACTCGAGGCAGGTTTCCAGGTATGAGAGGAACAGAGTCACCAGCAGTATCACAACCTCTTGGATAAAAGCTTTGTCCATTGCCAGGAAGCCGGCAGATCTGGAAGAAACATGCGAGCTGTAGTAGCAGTGAACCGTGTAGGTATTTCTTTAATTTTGCCAAGATAGATAACCAACTAACTTCAAATAACATAACATCACGCCGAAGGGGTAGGCAGAGGTGTACATTACGGCACTTAATGTCACTGTACAATGTAACACTCACTCTTCACTATTTATGTTATTAGTCCCATGTAATAGGGAGTGAGCCTATTTTCATATACCGGGCACAATTCCAGGCTCTGTGCTATTATTGAGTTTTTTTTTTAAACCCAGTAATATTTTACCCGACCCGGGAATCGAACCCGAGACCCCTTGCCCGGCAGTCGCAATTGCGACCACTCGGCCAACGAGGCGGTCTAGTTTAACTTAGTAACTTACAAATAATGCGTACTAATGTCAATTAAGTACCACCCTTTTTTATATTTGATGGGCCGACGTTTGACCACTATCTCGCCTGTGCCTTTAGCCAAACGCCACTTTAGCGTCTACCAAGTCTACCAAGAGAGTAGAAAACTAAATGTATGGGGATGACACTGACAAGTGTTAAAATGTATGTCAATTCCATATAATTTGGTTTTCTATTCTACACCTCCTGTGTGCACCTCTGCCTATCCCTTTGGGGATAAAAGGCGTGATTTTATGTTATGTTATTCTACATGTAGACAAGCGCTAAGTGGCATTTGGCTATAGCTGCTGATGGTAAGCGATGATGCGGTCTACGATGGAGCACGACGTCCTATACGTCCTACACAACATATTCACTAGGGTCTTGTAGACCCAGGTTATACAGACTCTGGCAAAGAATTCCACTCCTTAGCAGTACGCACAAGGAAGCTTGATGCGAAGCGCTTCGTGCTTGTGGGTGGGACATCTACAATGAATCGGTGATCCTATTTTCACTATAATACCATGAGTTTTAATTGTACTATTCACAAACAGTAACATTTTTTATGAAACTGTTACGAGTATATTGCGATCAGGTTCATCATTTAAAAAATCATTAATATGTGTCAGATGGCAATTGATGTTGAGTTTGCAATAAGTAAAATTGTATTAGTTAAGGTCTAAATATTAAAGTGAATTGTAAACTTGTTTGTGGTCCCAATAAATGAAAAAAATATAGTACCTGCACACGCTGCAAGTCGTTCGACACCATGCCAAGAGATGGCGTTGTTCGAATAAATTGTACATCACATTCTAAGGGACATTATGTTAATAATGACGATCATAATAAGAGCTAATTACCAGTTATTTTTTACAGGGTGGGTTATTAGGAGTGCAAGTGATACGTTTCTGACCGCAGCAGGTAACTTCCAGAAGCCACGCGGCCAACAGGCAGACGATGATGAGTAGGCGCTCCCAATGATTTGACATCATATACTCTGCAATACCACACAATTTATAAATTTCAACATATTTTTCTTACCTAATACCTGAGAGCAATTTTATAAGTGTTATATTACGACGACGACGCTCCGATGAATTTGGAAAAACAAGTCAATAAGAAATTCTTGGAGAATGAAAAACGTACTTACAACATTTGAAGGGGCGTAGACTTACTTCTATATTATTTAATGTTACTCGCCATTGCAACGCATGAGTCCATCTTCCCTCTGCGAACGAAAAAGAATCGATTTGAGTCGTTCCACCGAAATAAGTGAAAAACTAACTAATACAAGAGCACTACTAGTACACTATAATGGCAAAGTACTAATACATACACAAGGTGGAATTTGACCCAAATCAATACTTTACGTTGGCAATGGAAAGAAATGGACTACGCAATCAATAAATAATTGATAAACAAAACCCTTTCAAGAGTTTTCTCAGTTAAGCTAAGACATGTTTACCAAATTTCCGCGGTGAATAGTTACTGCAAAATTTTGAACATAGTTTCAAAGCGCATGGGTCGTTTCGCTGGGTTTCCAAAAAATATTTTTTGTTCTATTTCTGCTATCTGTCGGGTCTGCCACACATCAATGTTGCTGTCGACTTTTTCCATTCTTCTGAACTGTCTCCAGCAGTAGAAGCTACTCCAGGTGTCTGCTACCCATAAATTTCCAAAACTTGTATACATTTTGGAAACTTGGTACTCGTATGGCCACTTTTCCCAAACGACTCAAAGTTTGTCGTGTCATTAATGCCTATACGGTCCACGCCTGCAAGGAGCTCGGCCAGAGCAAGGAACTTTCTTTTTGCAACACGCCGAAGTGCCAATAATTAGTATTGAGAATATTGCAAACAAAACCGTATAAAGGCGATGCAAGGCAGAATGGGCCATCGTCAGGTACTGAAACAAACAAATTGTAGCTTTATTTTAAGTATGTGTAGCGTTAGATGTTTCACTTTTAAATGATGTGGTTTTGATAAGCCGCTATGCTAACAAATTCCAAAGTCGTGACTGATCAAAAAAATTACAAGCAGTTTCTATAAATTCTGGAATTAGTAATGTTAGTGATAGTCGTAAAAATGATATTGTTAATGAATGTGAGAGGAAATGTTAGAAAAAATTCCATTATGTGTAAAACAGGTTACAACGGAAAAGCAATATCGAAAAAAACTAGAACAACCAAACAACGTTTCGATATTGGGTAACAAGACAGCCAGCTATTAAAGCCCTTTGTTATCAATTTACAAGCGCATGTCAACGGTTGGCTCGGTGCGCGGGCGCCAAAAATAAACAAACCAGCTGAATCAAACGCAAATGATTGGTATTCATCATATGGCCTGGACTAATTACACGCTTTGAACACGGCTCACTGAAAAATATAAACGGGATACCAGTGATGATACGAGAGAGACGAGGTCGTCGAAAATTTTGGATCAAGGTTAAAAACAAAGAAATTTATTATTGTGAGAACATTTGTTTAAGTTGATTTCAATACTTTGTTGTTTTAGGTATGTTAAATTGAAAACAATCGTTGTGGGTCTCCACAACGATTGTTTTCAATTTGAAAATGTTAAATGTTTTATACCAAGAAAGATATTTTTGGTAGCAAGAAGGAAGGTTGCGTAAAAATGATCATAACGCAATCACAATTTTGGAAATTACAATCATATCTAAACTTATAAATGTGGCAATAGTTAATATTAGACAAAAAGATAAAAATATAAATCCAGCTCATGATAACCTAAGTGAAGAATATTGTGATGAAGATACTGTATTTGTGGAAATACCTACGACACAGGAAAAAAAAAATTGTGGGATTAGGTAAGCTTTAAGAAAAGATAAAGAGAAGAGATAAAGATGAAAGGAGACTGAACTATGAAAAGATAGACAAGTATTCTTACCGTGGTCACTAGCTGCAGGGCGCCGGACTTCTGCAGGCGGCTATAACTTTTTTCGTGTACGCGCTAACCAGTCCAAAGAAAGAGGAGAACCCAGCAAGGAGCATCAGCACAGCTCTCTGGATGCCCATGGTCTACCGCATCATAATGTCTGCAGCGAGGAACACCCTGCAATCGTGAGCGGCCATGGCTCGGCCTTACAGCAGATAAAACACGGATGAAGACATGATATGGTATTCAGGAATAATAATCATAGAAAAGTTTGTTGCTTTTCCAAAATTAGGCTGGATGATTCCAGTTTTGGTGGGAGTCTTTAGACAATTATTATATGAGCATTTGTTTGGAATCGTAAGGAGTACCACGGGTTTCATTTCATTTATAACTTCTGGAAATATTTCACTCTACAATTCTGGTTACATTTCAATGGAAACAGAACGGGCTTGCTTTTAGCGAGTAGCGCTTCAAATTTCCATAAAATGTTAGTAAACTTTTCATCTATTTGGATGCAATCATGAGAGTTATATATAAACCACAATGTAACTTACCTTCGTCATTAATTTGTGAATAAATAAACTATTATAGATCGTAAAAATAATTAAGTTCTCTCAAAGGTATTGATAACATACAATATCAGTGAAATTTGCAACAAGTAGATGGCGCTTTGTTCGATTATTATCACCGTATTTTGTACAGGGTTGTAGTTGCACTAAGTAATATCTAAATTCATGAATATGTTATGTCCTGAAGAATCGTTAGGAACTTTGAGCATCTGACATATGGATTTGGGTCAAATTCATAGGAAACTACTCGAACTATAAAAACACTAATTTAATATAGCACAGATAATATGGACTCACCTGTTTGGAAATATTTATAACTATATTTTATGTGTAAATGTAATCACTGTGAATTTTGTTTTTGAAATTTTTGCTGAATTTTTGATTGTACAGTTTTGATTGGTGCCAAAAAGAACTTCGTTTTGAAATAGATGACAGAGGAACTGGCCATATTTTGTGGCAAAGAGTTCGATATAATTGATCAAAGAGGTTGTTTACTTATTAAACATGGGACCAAAATATGTGGTTGATTAAGATAAGACTATATTATTACATTATTTTTCTATTTTGTTTTGTAATCTGTGACATTCTGAAGCCTGCCCTACACGTTGGCGGCTGCATCCCCCGGAGTCTGGAAAAGGCATCAAGGCGGACAATAAATAGTTGGTAATTATCGTCACAGACGCACAAATCAACCCTCTAACCGTCAATGCCTTTTGCGCAGTGCCGGATTAGCCACGTAGCAAGAGTAGCAAATGCTACGGGCCCCGCGGATTGGAGGGCCCCGCGCTCAAATAGGTATTTCGTAATTACACCACTTCAACAGCAAGACTTATGAAGAAAATGTTTTCTTTACAAAACTACTATCAACCTACAAGTAATTTGATTTTTTTTTTGACAAATAGTCGGCATTTTGTATGTGTAAGAAAAGGAAAGTTAGTATTTGTGCGTTTGGTTGGCGCCATTGGCGGGCGAACCAAACTCGATTTAAACGAATTAAAAATGAATTAAGGAAGACTATGGGCCAAGAATGTCTTAATCATCTCACAATATTGAATATAGAGCATGACTTGCTTAAAGAAGTCGATATTGAAAGTGTAATCGCTAAATTTGCCCATAACAAATCCAGAAAAGTTTATTTGTAACAGTTTTGTTTTATGTAATACCCTAAATAACGACAAGACCAAATTTGTGTGGAGCGTGGTGACTTTTTATTTTTTCGCAGCAGTTTATTGGATGTGTGAAAAACTGATGCAGAATAAAATTACAAACAAAAAAATATATGGGGTCTTATATCAAAAACACAGTCCAAACCGAGTTAAATCAGTTCAAACATGTGAAAATAGTGCTATTATAATTCCTTTTATTTTGTTTATGTTGACCGTACACAACGCATATTTCTTCATTTACTTGTCAGAAATATTTTGTAATAAATGTTTATAAACGATTTCAAGGAATATAGTAAAGCTTATAGTGGACTTCTTTATCTTTTTTTATAAGGCCACGGAATCATAACAGAGTCAAACATTAACTGGCCACTGCTCAAGTAAAAAAAGAAAACATTTTGCTTGCTTGGCTAGCTTGTTCACTTTATACCTATGTATACGATTTATGGCCTATGACAGGTTATCATGTAAGTTTCAATATCTTCTCAGTCGAAAACCCGCAAAATACTTTACTGAGCCCTATCACGAAATGCTATGTTTGTCAGCTGCGGCGTCGGTAGCGAATTGAGCAGTGACAATCGTCAAAACACGAAAAAATGTTTTTTCCGTCTACTTCTCCCGACTTACTCCCGATTAGTCACTAATTTAACTACAGTTAATACTCTAATCTACAGCTAGCATAAGATTCTGTACAAAGATATCGTCGTTCAGTCACAAAGTGATGGATTATATTTATATTATACTAGCGACCCGCCCCGGCTTCGCACGGGTGCAATATGCATGTATTATACATACAAACCTTCCTTAAGAATCACTCTATCTATTAAAAAAAACCGCATCAAAATCCGTTGCGTAGTTTTAAAGATCTAAGCATACATACGGACATACAGCGAAAGCGACTTTGTTTTATACTATGTATTGATGAAAAAAAATGATACGCTCATCTGACGTAGGTATATCACTTTACAAAGTCGACGGTTTCCTTTCTTCAAAAGATTATGCGAACTATAAAGTAGATGAGTCTCCCACCAGGAGTCAATGGCAAAACAAAATATACTTTATTAGATGTTCACACGGCTACCACCACTCAACTCACCACTGGTAACATAGTTGAGGCTCATGAAGCTTCATGACACAACTCCTAGAAGCACACCACACAAGTTATCGACTGAGAGAAAATAGGTAATAAAAATTTGTGCCTGGGAATATGAATATATATATTGTGGTGTGATATGGTGTTCCTGTGCCCGACGTACAGTTGCGCGCAATTTAAAGTTGGGAATTGTGACAAAAATATGAATAATTTGAATAAAAATACCAAAGTAAAATGTTTGATTTCAGCTCCTTTCAACGCTCATAACTCAGTCCAGACTGAGATTTCCATACATGAGCCCATAGACAATTTCGTTTGTAATGTCATTTTAGACAATATTTTCCATAAATTATCGACTGCCGCCAGAAAAAAGAAAGGCACCAATTTTAGTCAATGCCTAAATGAGAACCGATGGCAAACCAAGGGCCCCTTGACAAAATTTGCTACAGGCCCCGCGCTTGCTTAATCCGGCACTGCTTTTGCGCTGCGACACACAATGGGCTTTTTGTGTGGACTAGTATTCTTGCTGTGTCTCGTGGCGAAATAAAAGGTTTATTTTTCTTTCTTTCGACGGACGCATCCGCAGATGACATCTATAGACGCATTTGCCGACGTGTAGTGCTACACCAGGCTTTAGAAAGCTGCTTTGAGATGTGCCGTGGTCCAAATTAAACACATTATTCATTGAAATGTTTACAAAATTGAAATAATAATCACAATTAATACATCAGATGTTGTTACTGCGTTAGTATTCATGCTAACTATCAAGTTTAATGAGAGCATAAACAAAAATAGAAGCGGGTTTATGGTTTCATTTTAACTACCGTCGTTAAAGAGATGTTTAAACAGTCTTATGGCGCTAACTTTACTTGTCGTCGTTTTTGGAAATATTATAGGTACATACCTTCATTAATTTTGTTCAAACTGGCTTTTTTATGAGGAGGAAAATCACCCAATGCCCCCTCATTGGGTGAGGCGAGAGGGAGTGTCAGACTCTTACTGACTAAGAACCACCCCGTTACTACTCCTGGTTTTCGAGCTGGAGCCCCGGCAACCCTTTGGTCCTTCTGCCGCTCTTTATCACGGGTCTGGTTCCCTTTGCACCGCCCGCACTTACAGTGGCCGGAGATTGTCGCGCGATCTCCGACGCCCGGAATGTCTCCCGCGACGGCTGGGGCGTGAGAAGGTTCGTTCCGTCACGCGCCCCGCCTCCTCCTATGATCCTCGTATGACTGCTTCGCAGAAGAAGGAGACGGCATCCCAGTCCCCCTCGCTCCGTACCATGGTCTGAACCAGATCCGGACGCGAGAGGTCACCGTCGCTATTCAAACTGGCTACCATCATAAAATCAATTTGAATACCAAAACATCTGGACATTAATAACCAAACATTTAATCATAAATATAAATTAAAAATATCGCACATTTCACCACCGGAAACCGCATTACATACTTTAATATCGAACGGTGTTACCAGCGTTAAAAATAAACATAAATTTTTACACTGGCAATACGTAATGTAAATTCGTGTAATTAATTATGGAACACATTACTTTAGCGTTGTTTGTAGTTGTTAATCTAATTGACGACATACTTTAAACAAATGAAAATGAAAATATGTTAATTGTGAGTTCTTTGTAATAAATAATACGTTTTTATTTTTCCAACGAATAGTGTTCAGCTATACGTTATTTACAATTTCGTTGGTCGCCAATTCGATTGCCGAGCAAGGGCTCTCGGGTTTCATTCAGACACTGACACTGACACTGTTTTTCATTTTTATACATCTCTGTAAATAATATCACGACGTTTAGAATTATGCCCGACCTACAATACCACGGAGTCTAGACTGGGCTCACCTTATATTGGGACTCTTAAAAAACCTAGTGTAATAAGTGCCTTCCTATTGCATTGTATGGGTAACCTCTGCCTACGCCTCGAGTATTAAGGAGCATGTTATGGCACAAAATATTTATGTCACTTATAATTACAAAATCAACTTCAAAGTCAAAATATTCAATTAGACAAGGAAGGAACTTCTGAACGTCAAAACTAAATATTAAAAAAATGTCTGTCTGTTGGTCAGTCCTCTAGTGTAGCTATTTGCTCGTTCCAAAGTGTAGATTCCTGTCAAGAAGAATAAGAAAGAAACTCCATTTTTCAATCAGGTCCACAATACCATTCTTGGATAAAATTACTGCTAATTTAAACTTCAATGCTTTTACCGTAGTTTAACTGAAGCCACAGGTTGTACTCGATAATAACATAAAATGAAATTACTCGAAAGCGTACAATTAACATTATTAGATTGTAATCGTGTCGAATGGTAATCAAACGTGGCACTACAGGCTACTGGCGGATCGCGTGACGTGTACTAGTGTTGGAAGTTGTCGATAATGTAATACAAAACGTAATCACACCAATATTATAAATGTTTTTATAATAACTATCGTGAGACATACTAAACTAAATTAACTAAAATCGCGGGTTACTCACGTGAATATACTGAGAAAAGCTCTACTAGTTTCGAACGTTCGAAACTTCTTCCTCATGAGTAGCGTGCGGGATCGCGGCGAGTCAGGAGTGAGCGAGTCAGGAGTCAGGAGGAGAGAGAACCCCTCTATGGTTCGAAACTAGTAGAGATTTTCTCAATATATTCATGTGAGTAACTCGCGATTTTAGCTAATATTATAAATGTGAAGGTTTCTTTGTTTGGATGTTTGTCCGTTAAACACGCTGAAACTACTGAACGGATTTTGATGAAAATTGGTATACAGGCAGGGTATGGGCTGACTTAGGTGACAGGATACTTTTTATTCCGATTAAATGTTCCCATGGGATAAAACAGAAATTATATCCCACACGGACGAAGTCGCGGGCTACAACTAGTTTGAAATAATTTTGGAATAGTTGTTTATAATAATATACCTTTATTTGGTTGTAATACGGTTTTATTTCAGTTTAGCAGGCATTATTATTGTAGCTATTTCCGTATTTATTAAAAAAACACAAATGCGTTTCAACGCATTATGGGTTTTAGGGAATTCATTCCCAGAAGGGGTTTTCGTGTTTTCCTATTCGTCAACAAATACGTAAAGTGGAAAATTAACATCATTGTCATAGATCGAGAATAATTTGCGTGTTATTCGAATGGAGCTATATAAAGAATCTATTGTCATACCCAGACACTGGGATTTCATAAATTTCAAGTAGTTTCGGGGAATATCTTAATTTCCTTTCCTTAATTACTGAAAATCCTCGAAACGAGATCATACTATATTCGTGGTGCTCAATCACTCACTTCCTTCTATCCCATTACCCCTTCCATTTCCAAAATTTCCATGAAGTTCCAGCGATTGGCTGGAATCTCGATAGTTGCAACGTTTCCATGAGAGCGGCGCGTGAGATCACCACTAATGCACGATCACCGGCGGCCTGCGCGTGCGTCGCCACGCGCGGTTTATTTATAACGAACACTTCCGATCGACCAAACGAATACATTTTTAAATCATTATAAATAGGCATTTCAATTTCTGTTCATTTAAATATTTAAATATTAATATTTTTTAATTATTTAAAACCAAGTGACAAAGTGATGAAAGTGACATAAATATGCGCGTGTGTTGTGTTGTTAGTGACGAGTTCGTTGAGAATTCCATAAATGTGATTTTTAAACATATTTCTGTACTGAGTGATGCGTATTTTTGTTAACAATTTCTCTGAAACTCGTATGACTGGTTCCGTACGGAGATTTCCATTTGTTTTTAACTCCTCAGTCAGTGTTGGTCGGTACCGGCTGTGTGCCATGTGTTATTGGTGAAAACGTGAATTTATTTTAGAAAGTTTCATTCCAGACATTTCTTTTGGAAATTCAACTGGTGAGTCTGTTTTCGTGACGATTTCAGTTCCATGTACTAGGTATTTTCGAATTTACTTTTGTGATTTTTTTTTATATTTCCGTTTATTACACACATATTAAGTAGGACTCTTATCATAAGGACTCGTCTCAATCTCGATGAAACGCTTAAATAAAAATAGATTACATATCTATTAATGTTAATATTCCTGAAATATCCTGAAAACAACGACTTGAAAAACATGACTTTATTGCACGTTTCGTATTTCTAAATGAAAAATGCTTAGTCCTAATTAATACTATCAAAACACATTTCGATTTTTATTCTAACACGTTTTGAACGCGCGTCGCTTATTGCACGCAATTATAATAGGAGACTGGGCAGTCACATGTCAAAATAATTTCGAAAAATTCCATCAGCTGGCGCGTACGCCACACGCGCGCGTAAATGTACGTTGTATATATTTCAAACTAATTTTTCCACCTACGTAACGTGTACAGCCGACTGGAATTTAAAAGATAAGTCTGAAGTAGGACCCAGTCTCGTTAGACTATTGGCATAAAAAGTAACTACTACTTCCTGAAAAATAAAATTCATCATCATAAACTCAAATCGCTGACGTTGGTCATAAAGCCGCATGCTTAAAGTGAAACTGGGCTGGTCATGTCTGCCACATGTCAGACGAGCGGTGGGCAAAACTTACTACTGAGTGGAGCCCACTCAACGTCAATAGACCTCGCGGTAGGCCCAGAAGGAGATGGCGGGACGAACTTGACGTCTATGAAAAGGTTTGACCACAGAAAACTATAAGATGAGACGGGTGGAAGGAGGGTAGGCCTTTGCCCTGCAGTGGGACAACCGTGGCTAAAAATAAAAATAAAATAATAATCATCAGCCAGTTTGCACCTACTTCAGGACATAGGTCTCTCCAATGGCACGCTACTGAACTCGGTCTTCAGCTGTTTGCATCCAACAACTCCCAGCCACCTAGCGGATATCGTCAATCCGCCTAGCTGGGGAAGGCGCCCTACAAAGTCAAAGTCAAAAGTCGCAGCATTTATTTTTTATAATAACTATCGTGAGACATACTAAATTAACTAAAATCCGCGGGTTACTCACGTGAATATACTGAGAAAGAATATATTCAAAGCATTTATTTCAATTAATACTTGATTAGGCACTTTTCGAACGTCAAGTTGAACTGTTACTGAAGCTAGGTGCTCATTCCAAAGTGTAGTATCGAATGGAGAAGAACGACCAAGAAACTCCATCGATACACAACATTTGCCTAAAAAATTATTACCAAATTTTTTTTGTAACTTGGTCCAGTAGTTACACAGTTTATTCGTACAAACAAACACTCAAATAACGTTACAATATTGGACGGTATCAGTAATAATTTGTGGCAGTCATTTGTTTTCTAGTAACACAGATTAATTTAGCACATTTTTTACACAATGTTGACAAATTGTTGGATTGAGAAATATATTGTGTGATAAATGCCATTAATTAAATTATGTGATATTTATTGCTATAGTTTTTACGTATAAGTACACAGTAGAGATTTATCACGCACGACTATTATTTATTCATCAAAGGGATAGGCAGAGAGTGTGCTTACGGTTACTAATTTTCGCTAGTTTGGATTTAGTACATAAATACATAACATCGCGCTTTTCTCCCCGATGGGGTAGGCAGAGGTGCACATTACGGCACTTAATGCCACTGTACAATGTAACACCCACTTTTCACTATTTATATTATGAGTCCCATGTAATAGGGGGTGAGCCTATTGCCATAGGTGTACCGGGCACATTTCCACACTCCGTGCTGCTATTAAGATTTTTAAAAAACCCAATACTATTTTTTTTTAATATACTATATCTTTCGTGAGACATACTAAGTTAATTATTATGTTTACTGTTTGAAAACATAATACCGTGTACTTAGACGAAGAACTCAACTATAGTAGTTAGCAACGCGACAGTCGCCGCGTCGTGTGTCGCGGAATGCTGCTCATGAATAGGAGCCTCTAGCAAACTAGACTTTTTTTTTAAGGGAGGAAAATCATCCAATGACTTCTCCCCCCGGGTGAGGCGAGAGGGAGTGTCAGACTTTTACTGACTAAAAACCACCCCGTTCCTACTCCTGCACTTCCAGCCGGAGCCCCGGCAACCCGTTAAGTCTTCCGCAGCTCCGTATCGACATCAGCCCTGTTGGGACCCGTCTGTGGTGGTCTGATGGCTCCTTGGGTCGGACTGGTTCTGGTCGGGCAGCGAGTCACCCGTGCGGACGGCGATTCGCAGGCCCGTGCTAGCAAATTAGACTAGCCGTAGACTTGAAACTAGTCGATGTCCTCGTCAAATAGTTACGTGAGTAAGTTGAAAACTTAATAATAAATTTATAGTAATTAGTGATACACATAGAATTTTGTACACTATGCTTTTCCTAGCTTGTTTGTATATTTTATTTTCAAAATATGTGTATTCTAATAATACCTACTTTTATTGACACGGAATTGGTCATGGAAAAAAACAGAATCTTTAAGCTAATTTCTGTTATTTTTTCATAAATTCTGTCTTTGAATGTTTTATGGTTATGGCTCATTTTATGGTTATGGCATAGACAGTTAGTTAAATGATAGTTTTTGTAACCTCGTTTGAACTCATCCGGTCACTGCCCACTTTAAGTAAATATTTTTAAATTCACTGCAGTCCCAGATTCAGCATATTTGTCAGTACGTATATTTGTTCGTATATTTTTCCCATTCATTTTAATGTATTTTTTTTAAGTCAAGACGTTATTATCAGATATACCTACAACATATTTTTATAGATTGGTAAATGTCCAGAAGTCTGTTTTCACATTACCTTTCCAGAGCATCAACTGCCTCGTTGGCCGAGTGATCACAAGTGCAACAGCCAGGCAAGGGGTCTTGGGTTCGATTCCCGGGTCGGGCAAAGTATTACTGGTTTTCTTTTAATCTCAGTAGTAGCACGGAGTCTGGAATTGTGCCCGGTATATGGCAATAGGTTTACCCCCTATTACATGGGACTCATAACATAAACAGTAAAAAGTGGGTGTACATTGAGTGGTATTAACTGTAGTAATGTGCACCTCTGTCTACCTTTTAGAGAAATAAAAAGGCGTGATGTTATTTCCAGGGCATCGAACTCCAACATATATATAATCTTATAGTCATAAGTTTTTCAACGAGTAGACAAAATATCTCTAGTTTATACTTATTGCAAAAACGATTCAAAATTTTAATTTATAAAATTAAATGGCAAAAAAGAACTGGCATAGACACCGACTTCTACAATCGTAGACAACTCAACTGTGTAAACGAATGATAGTGTTACAAAAATACTCTATTACAGTTGCGATGTAAATCAGCTGAAACTTATAAGACGCGTGTCGCAATGTTTCAGTTTCAGGCGACACTTTACACAATTTGTTACATTCTCTGACAACTGGCTTCTGACTTGTGAAGTTGACTTGGGTGGTCTATGACACAGTTCTGTCATTGCATTCTTTGGTACGTCTATTTCCTTGATCCTACTTCTAGGGCCGATTTTCCTACGCCAGGTAAATTTTAACTTAAGAATAACATTGCCTCGTTTGGCCGAGTGGTCGCAAGTGCGAGTGCCAAGGGGTCTCGGGTTCGATTCCCGGGTCGGGCAAAGTATAAGTTTTCAAATATTCTCAGTATTAGCACGGAGTCTGGAATTGTGCCCGGTATATGGCAATAGGCTCACCTCCTATTACATCGGACTCATAACATACGTAGTGAAAAGTGGGTGTTACATTGTACAGTGGCATAATGTGCGTCTCTCCCTCCCCCTTCGGGGATAAAAGGCGTGATGTTATGTATGTTATGTTATTTTTAATTACAAAATAACTTTTTTGACTTTCATTCCCCGCCTATCACCATTCCACTTATTTATTTAAGACGTAGTAATGTAGTATATCAAAGCCCTTATAGAAATATCTTGCAACCAGGTCAGACAGCCAATAAAAATGACTCTTGACGGCTACTGACTCTCCGAGAGATTTGTGGCCAACCACTTCCTGCTTGTCAGAGATATAAATTAACTCAAATAGTGTGGAATTTGTAAATATATGTAGAGATTTTTACACTCATATACGCAATGTTGTGAGTGATTACCAAACAATAGGTCTCCAATTTAGCCTTACGACCGAATACTGGAACATAACATAACATCACGCCTTTTACCCCCGAAGGGGTAGGCAGAGGTACACATTATGGCACTTAATGTCACTGTACAATGTAACACCCACTTTTCACAATTTATGTTAAGAGTCCTATGTAATAAGTGGTAAGCCTATTGCTATATACCGGGCACAATTCCAGACTCCGTGATATTACTGAGATTTTTTTTATAAACCCTATTTATTATTTTCGAATAATGAGTACTTAAATATCATGCTATCTCTGTCATTTTACACACAATTTGTAGTGATAGAACTATTCTTGAGAGTGTGATCAAATTGAGAGATGTTTCAATATTTGACCGTAAGTCGGTCAAAGGTCATTTATCTAAATTCTGAGTAATAACACAGAGTTTTTAATCAAATATATGTCCGGTTAAACCCTAGAACCCTATAACCGGGAGCTATGAACTAGGTCAGGTCATCACTCTATTAAGGACATACGAGATACATTTTCCTGAATTTCCTGAAAACAAGTTTCTACCAATGTTTTTACGGAGTCATTGAGAGATTGATTCAGCATTATAAACTATTTGTTTCATCTTAAAATGACTGTCAACACTTTTGTACACTTTTCAGCTCTTATATTTAAATTTCAAATTAATAATTTAATAGGATATTTTGAAATGTATATAAATGTATATCTGACTGTAACATAGTCAGATATCATCATCATATCAATCTCCAGACATCTACTAATGCACAAAAATCTTCCTCAAGGACTTCCAGACCATTTGGTTAAAAGTAACTAGGATCCCTTTTACAATTTTTTATTTTCTTTCAATATT